GTGAGAATGAGATGTTTTTTCGGGATAAAAGGTACCTTATGTCATCACATAGCTCACCTAATACTTTCACTTTTAGAAAATTATGTCAATCCGTCACTTCGTTCGATGTGAAAGAAGGATAAACAAATAATTAAACACACTTTCTCATTCATAATATTATAGTATGTAGTAATTATTTAGTAATTATATGTATGTGACAATCGCTAAACGTCCCGTCGAAAAAACTCAACGATTAACGTTCTCCAAGCCAAAACTTTATCCACATCCGCAGCACAGATGTTGAATTATTTATTTATTAATACTCTGTTATATATTTCCAGCTAGTTTTAGATTTCCATGTCCGTATTGAATTAATCGAATAGATTAAGATTTTCTTCGACGTGTGATATTAATTTCTATCTATCTGATATTTGCTATCGCAATGGCATGCTTGTTGAAGCCATAAGTAGTACCACGAATGTTCTAGCTTTCAAACCGATAACGCCTAAGCTGATACCACAAGCTCATAACAATATCTAGTAATTTACATTATCACCTTGAACTTTTTGTTGTAATGTCGCTTTCTCAAACATCAATACAACAATATACATAGGTCGGAACCTAACGTGACACGTCCCATACCTAATTACTGTGTTTAGATACAATCATGGCTAATGGTCATTTCCAGTTGACGTGACGCGCCGGCCACTCTAAATCATCCACTATTCTCTAAACACAACCTTCCAAAAAATTCATGAACAATACTAATGATTGTCATGACGTCAAACCACATAATAATTTTCTATCACTGTCCTTTTCAAAATAGTAAAGAAATGTCGCTGTGTAATACATGTACTTATGTATCTACATGTACTTACTTACTTTTATTACTGGTGGTAGGACCTGTTGTGAGTCCGCGCGGGTAGGTACCACCCCCCTGCCTATTTCTGCGGTGAAGCAGTAATGTTTTTCGGTTTGAAGGTTGGGGCAGCCGTAGTAACTATACTGAGATCTTAGAACTTATATCTCAAGGTGGGTGGCGCATTTACGTTGTAGTAAAAAAAAAGTATACTTGTGTATGTCTTTCATTATTAAAGCAACGTTAAATAAGTGCCAATTACCCGCGGCTCAATGGTATTTTTAATGAAGTCTGCACGTTCATTCTTGCATCGCTTCGAACCACGGTAGCAAAGACTGTTGGTATTTTGTTCCCTACCTAATCCCTGGTAGCCTAAGAGTATATTCCAGCTACTCGCGGACCGGTAGGTAAGCTCATGGGTTCAACCAGAGAAAGTTTGCTAACATTGGCCCTTGTAGGAATAGTTCTTCGCTCAATCTATCACCGGATCGTTCCCGACATCGATGAGTTTGCGTTTATTTACAAACCTTAAACTGAAACTCGTTCACTACATTCACCATTGTTTCAGAGTATAAATAATAAACAAAATTATTATTTTAAGTAAATTCTTACAAAATTAATCGAGTACATACGCATTCTAATTGTATTACGCATTTATGACCGTTATCAAAAGTGTAGCGATGATAGATTACGATAATTCGCGTCATTTTAAATGCTGCACACTTTTACAATGTTATGAAGTTAAATATAATTGAATAACCTGTTGTCATATAATTTATTTCCTTATTACAAAAAAATTCGTGCAAACATTTGCTTGAAATGTTATATAATGTTAAACTACAGTGTAACGTCGTTGCCCACCTATTTTTTTTTCCACTTTCTTTAATTATTACTCTATTCTTTCTATTTTTATACTCTACTTACTTATAACAAGGATAATTCCTAGTTTTGAAATTGTATCCGGTTTAAATTTCAGTACAGTGATTAGGTATTTGTTTTTATCATGGCCTTTTCATTTCATTTCTGATTTGTAGTCAATGAAGATCGAAGGAGTGCTCGAGACTCCTCAGGAACTTTTCTGTAACTGTCTGTATTGACCAAATATCAGGTTTGAAGATTGTGCAGAGCAACTACAATTTAGCCTTCAAGACTTTCTCTCAAATCAAGCGTTTCTTGCCTTCCTTCTACTGACTTACTTCTGTGTTTACTTATCCTTAAATTTTATGGCCGACTCCAACCATCACTGATCTTTGAGGTGCTTGAAAGCAGTGCATCTGCTGGCAATAATACAGTGGTAAGGGAAATAGTACGCTTTGCACAGCCTCTGGATGAATACTGTGTATATGTGCAACCAACCTTTTTGAAAGGTTGTTTTATTTAATACCGAAGCACTCACTGGCAGGGCGGTAGGATCTAATACTGCGGTATAAATAACTGCATATTGCAGCAAAATAACTTGCATACTACACGTGCACAATGAAACATTTTCAAAGTTTAAATGTTGTAGCGCTAATATTACATATTGTTATGTGAAAAAATTAACACATTGATGGAACTAAATCATAACCAAATATACCTACCGAGTTACATGCCGTTTTAGACGTTACGAAATGTCCCAGAATCTATTTGTATTGTAAACTTGTATTAGATACGAGTACATGTATGGATGTTACAAAATTGTACAAGCAAATATATGTACTAAGTGGCGGAATAGTTTTCTAGGCGTACATTATTCCAAACTCACATTATTTCCGCATTTCAATTTAATAAAGATGATAATTTAATTTTGATTACATTTCATCGTATATTAGTTAATTTCCACTGTATCCCTAATAATTAGTAAAATTAAAACAATACATAAAAGGAATGTAGATGTATCCTTCGCATCGGAACTCGTGACTGCTTCAGAAGAGAGGTGAACTCTTTTAAGATGCGGACCGCGCGGCACACCTGCATAAGTCATGACATGACATTATTTAGGCCTCAACATATTCTGAAGTAGAATACACAAACTTATTATTATCTTTTCCAATTAACTTAAAGCATTGTCAATGGAAGTAAATACCGGATATGTATGTAGAACTCATTTTGTCAACACACTTTCCTTATAAAATATTCATTATGCAACTTACTTGAATACGATCAGAGACCTTTGTGTTGGACTTTTATGGCGAGTTCGGTCAGGGTAAACAGTATTAAACTCGATATAAATTGATTATACTGACACGACAAATGGATTATTGCCAAGAAGCAATGCCAGCTTACGTTTAAAGGTTGAAACTTTACGTTTTTATCACAAATTTATGCATCGATTAAGTCATACTTAAATCATAGATATTGTAAAGAGTTACGTCATAAGTTGTGTTACCTTATGGATTGAATCAGGACTATAATAACAGCCTCATTAATTATACATTCAGCCTTTAATATTGATGTTTCCGGAGTAGCTATATCGCTTTTTTTTTGCAAAGTCCCACTAAATTATGACAAACTTAGACTTAATAATTTATGGTTTTAATCGTAAGGAGTTATAGGAGCGTTAATTATTAAAAAAGTTTTAGTGTTTTAGCGTCTCAAACAATCATGAATAACATTATTTGTCGGTCTTCACATAATGGACTTTTACACTCCGATAACTCATCATGAACAAAATCATTAATCTTTACAACGCGTTGAAGACAAAGTTTTTTTAATGAGTGCCTACTTCCGTCATTCACGAGGTGAAACTTAGTGAAGTTTTAATGTAAGCCCTTACAAAACGATCAAGCATTCTAGAAAATTCTTTTTCGCTGTACCTACGTATGTACATACATACGTGAATATAACATTTATGGGATTAACGAATTCACGGCATCCTGTACACAGGTGGTAGGCAGAGCGTATATCCTCTTATGTCCCTAACTAATTAGAATAATTTCCGTCCGGTCAAATCATAGCGTAATTTTCCTAACTTTTACAGATACGAAACTAGGGTTTCAATATAAATGTACCACTCTGTAGTAGAGTCAAAGACTTCCAACATACATATAACAAGCTATTTTCTAATGCACCGTTTCATAAGTCATTCGATTTATAAAGCATATTACACACAAAATTTGGTTATTACACACACAATTATTGGCTGAAGATGAAAAGGAGTACAAAAAAAAAATCCAACGTTACTATTTTTGTTTTTGAAAAACCAACTTATTTACACTCATTTATTTACCTTAAATTAAATATGTCCTATATTTTAATATTATTTCAGCAGTGGTTTTTTTTAATAACAGTCTTTCGGGTAGCTTAGTTGATTTGGATACACGGGCTTGTCCTCTTCAAATATTAGTAGTAGAGCATATTGAAATTCTCACTGCTACTGTTGGCACCGGCATGCCTCTTGCTTCCGCGACCACATTTTCCAAGGGCGAGATAGATATTTAAATACATATTTTATCTCAAGTTGAACAGTATAACAAAATAATAGTTTTCACTACAGCACACACACAATTCAGTTTACTGAGTACATTCCTGTAATCGGACCATAACTAACCGACCCTCAACACCCAATTTGGATTCCGAATCAGTTCAACTTCACGTTTGACGTGGCTTTGGGTTCAAATAAAACAATACACGTTTTATTTTATGTGTTGTCACGGTATACTAAGCGGTACCAACCCAAAGTACCCATATTAACAGTCAACAAACAACCAATACAAAAATACTTATTTGGGTTAAGCCAGTTATGTTTTGTAAAGCAACAATAATAATACAAATTAAACTATATAGGCCTCTGAATTCAGATTCAATGTTTTCATTTTCGCATTTTCCTTATTATTTTCCGAAGCGAATACGAATACAAATAATACTTACGTAAAAATTGGATTGTCTTTGGTTTTCTTTATGCTTAGATAGTTGAACGAGCTTGCGACCCACCTGGCCAAAAGTCGTTACTGGAGCCCATAGACATCGTGACGTGAATGCCGTCACCACATGAGGTCTAAGTCTCAATAGTATTATATCAGGCTATCCCAGACTTCAAACTGTACTGTAGGAATGTTTCGCGGCAGATGGAGGCAGTATGGTAATACCTACCCGCACGAGATTACAATAAACATTACCGTCGAAAACCGTTTTGAACTGGGAATGTTTTGCGTTCATACGCTGTATTTAATTATTTTTTCAGAATGGGTGAGCTTGGTACAAAACTGGGACTGGACGAGCTGACCGGAGGAGCCGCTACGATCAGCAGAGCACTACTCGCTGAGTTTATCGGTACGGTCTTAGCGTACACTTTTATTGAATATTTTTTCATGTATTACTTGTACTTTGATAATTTACAGCGTTACTAGCTGGCCCGGCAAACGTTGTTTTGCCATATAAACTATTTCTAGGAAAGATAAATAGATACTGACTGCAGCGACATCTGCCGGGCTGATTTGTAAATCTAAACCATTCTCGAATCCACCTGAAGGTACACAGAAAATTTCATTAAAATTGGTCCAGCCGCTTAGGAGAAGTCAGTAACAAACACACGCACTGAAGAAATACAATATAGTATTATGTATATTAAAGCTTATTTAAAAAATTGGCACCGAAGTGACACATCGCTTCAAGGAAGAAGCTTTATTAAAACATCTTGAATAGAACTATCTCATATGTTCCTGTTATTGTTATTCTGTATTTAAATATAAAAAATATTACATGTTAAATGTGGTCACGCTATTGTTGATTTTCTAGGTAACAATGAAAAACAAAATTATTAATATTATTATTATTCACATGAAACATTTATTTTTCCTGTTCCATGAAAATATATATACCCGTCAAATATTTTATTTGTCGAGTTCTATGAACCCACTTCCAACCACAAATCTTACGAATTAGTTCATAGAACTCTACGCACACTTGATAGAGACATGCGTACATGAAAATCAAAACAAGAGAATTGGGTAATTGTCAAGAATTGGCAATGGTTTTGATGGATAATATTTAGAATTTATTAACTTATTCTTTTAATTGAACTTGGTTCGACTTAATTCGATGTTGTGATGCTAATGGCAGGGTGTGTGGGCCTGCTCGGATCAGTAGCATAAGTCTATTTTGCTCGCAAAGCAATCGTACTTTTTGGTTTCGAACACCTTTCCAATACTATTCGAATTTAAACCCTATGCCTCAATGTTCCCTTAGCGGGATTTTGTAACATTTTTTCGTATACATATTTTATAAAAATAATCAGATCCACCACTCGATTTTGTGATATCTTTTTTTTATTGCCCTTGTAGGCAGACGAGCATACGGCCCACCTGACGGTGAGTGGTTATCGTCGCCCATGGACTTCAGAAATGCCAGGGGCAGAGCCAAGCCGCTGCCTACCGAATATCTAACGTATATTTAGTGTATTTTCCTTAGTTTTCACGAGCCGTAGGCATAATTAAAATTACTTTTATCATACGCGACCACGAGAATTGTAAAGTATTTGAAACGACGAAAATAATATAAAGACATTAAAAAAGCTAAGATTAGGCCGCAATAGTAGTTTTAATAGTGGTTTTTCTATTGAAGAGCATTTAACCCTAAAACGTACGACATAAGCCGAGAATCTACTTTTTTTTAACTAAGTTAAAAATAATAGACGTATTTATTACTCACGAAAATAAATTACAGGACAATTATTTAATTAATTCTATTCCTTAAGTTGAATTTGACATGTCTAATGCAGGTAACTTGCTCCTAAATCTGTTCGGCTGTGGTGCATGTGTGAAGATTTCTCTGGAGTCCAACAGTGAAACGGACATCTTGCTCATCGCTTTGGCGTTTGGGCTAGCGGTATTTGCTGCTGTCTCGGTAATTAAAATTTTATTTTTTTTAACATTTTCTCTTTCGCTGGGCTGTACCTCTCTGATAAGGAGATGTCGAACACAATTTTTCCCACCAGTCACACCACCAGACTATAAAAAGAATTTGGTTCGTCAGGACAATTAAAAAAAAACCATTAATAAAAGAGAGATAGTATCTTATCACAAATATCATCACATAAATAATCAAAGATTTTTTAATAGTAAGTTTGCGATTGAATAACCCTACCTCGTGTTTTAATTATAATTACTATCTAAGATCTTAATAGAAATACTATCGTCAATATCTCGTCATTCATTCATTAATCACAAACATTCAACGTGAAATATTTACGATAACGATTTATTTTTCCACCCTAAGTTTGACCGGTCACAAATACATTCACGAAATAAAATTCCAGAGTGCCACTGCACGTTTTTGTTTTTAAGGTAATAAAGTTCTGGTGTTTTTTTTATTTTATCATCATGCATTTTTGTTCAAGTATACAATCTTAATCTGTGACAAATAGAGATGATAATCCGAATTATTGATATCAAAGATATTCTGTTCTTGGTTGTATTCTTGAGTTGAAATATTTCGTCTTTTGTGAAGTGGTTACCAACGACTTAGACTCAGACTCAGACTTAGACACAGTTGAAGTATAGATTGAGACACAATGCGTGTTGTCCTGTCCTTAGGAGCTGAATCTAACAGATAGAAAATTAAGGATTTTATTGCTAAGCAAACAATAACCAATTTATCTACTAAGTTGATAGTATTTTTATACCTTAGATACATAATAAATACTACTAAACATATTATACAAATATGAGTATTTATTAGTATGTCACACTCGAAATATAAAAACAACATAAACATATTATGCCTACTGAAACAAACACAAAGGTATAAAACATAATATATTGTTTTCCCCGAATAACTCCCAACTTGTCGCAAATCAATCTTCGAAAAGGCTGTCGATCTGCTTTTTTTAAAGCGAGCTTTTGAAAACGGAAACACGGTATTTCATGACAAAAATATATTAACAGGCAATAGGTCATATTTCTGGCGGACACCTAAACCCGGCGGTGACAGCCGGCATGCTGTGCACGGGCCGCATCAAGCTAATCCGTGCGGTGCTATACGTCATTGTGCAATGCGCCGGGGCCGCGGCCGGTTCGGGACTGCTCAAGGCGCTGACGCCGGACCGCATGGCCGGCAGTCTCGGCTGCACCGGCCTCGGCGTTGACGTTACAGAGCTCCAGGGCTTCGGGATTGAATTCTTCCTTGGATTCTTGCTTGTCTTCATCGTTTGTGGGGTGAGTACAACCGTTTAAGCCGTTCCATTGTTATTTCTCTAATTAAATACGTACTTAACAAATGTTCACGATTGACTTCCACGGTGAAGGAATAATAACATCGTGTAATAAAAATCAAATCCGCTAAATTTTTAATTCCCATAATTACTGGTGGTAGGATCTCTTGTAATATGAGCTATTAAAATAAAACCTGGCAAATGTACCTACAACATTGGACTGCGTACAGCACAGGGTTTCTTGCGTAAACTTTTTTTTTTATATACTTTCGATTTACCACCGCACAATAATACCAAGTCTTCTAAAATTAATTTTAACTTTAAAAAAATGTCTGTGAATACCTCGTTATCTAATAATACTAATGGGACGCCGGAAACCTCTACTATTTAACCTCGAGCTTTAAAAAAAAAACAATGTAAAAACAAGACAAATCTCAAGCAACCATCTATACGTAGGTTGCGTGCTACCACACAATCATTCTAATGCCTTAGCTAAGGGAATAAATTACGTTACCGTCATAGTGACGCCTTTAGTAATATAATTATTTTCAAAGGAAGATACGTTTAGTTTTAGACGTTATAATTAAATAAACATTACATCTCTCTTCATAATGCGCTTATTTATATTTATAGTAGGTATTTCTTTAGTTTTTGGAAAACCAGACATTAGAAGACCAGATTTAACAAAATAACGTACATGCACATTTATTTTCATCATTCTTCAAAAAACAGTGATTATGATCCGTAGTAGCTATCTACATAGTCAGCGAAGCACTGCTCTTGCTATGGCAGATGTTACCAAAGTATCCCAGGCCCCAAGAACTCGCCCAGCCATTCCGTGAAGCTAGGTTTAACCCCTGAGGTTACTAGCAGTTGGTACGCAAAAACATAGATATTCTTATATCTTTGATTTTTCAACTTTCATTTTATATGCTTAGTTATTTTTTGTATTTCTATCAAGAGTGCAACTACAAAAGTGAAAATTAAACTCTGTTTAACGAATTGTGTAAGGCTAAGCGTGAAACATATTCTGAGATTACTAATATGCGCCATCTAGTGATGAAAAGCTTACCAACGATTATCCGATTGAAATTTCAAAGCATTTTCCTTTTAAATGTGAATGAATGAAATAATCGGAGCGTATGTATCGTAACGCTACATCGCTGTTTTCTTTAATAATCTAAAAAGTACATTCGACTCCTGATTAGGCTTATTTAGATATTGATCATAGAATGTAATGTTTGAAGTCGTCGTGGCCTAAAGGATAAAACGTCAGGTGCATTCGTATCGAGTGATGCAACGGTGTTCGAATCCCGCAGGCGGCCAGTTTTTCTTATGAAATACGTACTTCACAAATGTTCACAATTGACTTCCACGGTGAAGGAATAACATCGTGTAATAAAAATCAAACCCGCAAAATTATACTTTGCGTAATTACTGGTGGTAGGAACTCTTGTGAGTCCGCACGGGTAGGTACCACAACCCCGCCTATTTCTGGCGTGAAGCAGTAATGCGTTTCGGTTTGAAGGGTATAGCAGCCGCAGAACTTATATCTCAAGGTGGGTGGCGCATTTACGTCGTAGATGTCTATGGGCCCCAGTAACACCAGGTGGGCTGTGAGCTCGACCGTCCATCTAAGCAATAAAATAATAATAATAATTATGTAAAATATTTTCTGTAGGTGTGCGATGCCAATAAGCCGGACAGTAAAGCAACGGCCCCGCTCGCCATCGGCCTCACCGTGACCCTGGGTCACTTGCTCGCCGTCGACTACACCGGCTCTGCCATGAACCCCGCCCGCTCCTTTGGCTCGGCCCTCGTCGCTAGCAACTGGAGTCACCATTGGGTACGATGATTAATGCATTGATTGCCACGTAGGTCACCGGTGCCCTACACGGCGCACTAAAATAATTGTGTCGATTTCTGTTTCTAAGCGCCTGGATTACCTAACATCGCCTTCTTTTGTATTTTAATGTGTTATGGTATTTTGGTCGGCCGCCAAACCGTTGGTTAGATCAGGTAACTGCGCTCACTGGACTCGCTGTTGCGACCGCCCTGAGAGAAGCCGAAAACCGAAGAAAATGGAAGCTGATGGTACAAAGAGCCACGAAGGGCTTTCAGGGACACGACCTTCAGCAATTAAGTATGCGACTAAGAAGAAGAATAGTCTTTTAGGTCACTTAGAAATAGATTCAATCTCTGTATATTCAGATTCATCTTTCCCAGAATCTAATAGAAATTCTGGCACCTTAGTAAGAAGATCGAAGAGAGAAATCGACATAATTACTTCATTACGCCACGTAGGGCACCGGTGGCCTACATGGCAGTCAACGTGTTAATAATACACTTAACGGAACACAATATCATTGTACTAAACTGAATAATTTTGTACATTTAAAAAAATATATATGTTATCATTATTATTATATTATTTATAAAAAAAAGTATTATAAATTTTATTAGTAACCTTTCATGAAATGTTATTAAAGTGTGATACGATTATCGAGCTAGTACTGCCGACGTGCCTATGTTTACTGCGAAGGACTCCTGCATCCCTATTGGAAGAGTGGAATAACCGTTCAATCCAAAATTGAAATTTCGACCTAACAAATCGAATTGTTCTGTGTATCAAAATAGATAATAGTTAAAAAAAACTATAAAAATACGCTTTTATAGAAAATCCAAATAAAAAATAGAAAATAAATTTGAATTAAAAATAGTGTAAGAAAAATGATGTTATTGTACAAAAAGCGTCAAAATAACCCTTCTACTCATATATATCTGTTCATAAAATATTTCTAACTACTGATACCATGGATTCCATTACATACTAACATACATACGTCTGAAGCTAATAATAAAAGCGTATTAATTAACTCTTTTCACAGATATACTGGGCTGGACCTATTGCCGGCGGTATTGCTGGTGCTCTGCTGTACGTCCACGGATTTACCGCGCCACCCCAGGAGCCGCCCACCAGATACAGATCTGTTGCCGGTGACGAAAAGGAGGTTAGGACATAATATTTAATTTGGTTTCCCTTTATACATGATCTTATTCAAATAGCCGATATGCGGCAAGCTTAATGTGAATATATTAAGATGTAAACTAATTAAATTAAACATAAGTGTTTACTAAACAAGCATACCGGAAGAACGGCGCCGACTGCGTGGACCGTTGAACAAAGCGTAAGCAATCAATTAATTAAACACGTTAACACTTTAATTTTAGCAGTTTTTAATAGCTGATCATAAAAACTGTGTTTACCGGATACCGGATGGACCGATTAGGTCGGGGATCAGTTTGTGTTATGCGGTTACCGTGGCTCGTACCTACATAAATGCACGACGTGAACACTGTAGCTCATTACACGTCATCACGGATCATCCGGATCCATTAACGGTGCTTTTAGGTACCTCAAGCACCGGTCACCGTCCTCGTGACGAAATGTTCACGATTGACTTCCACGGTGAAGGAATAGCATCGTGTAATAAAAATCAAACCCGCATAATTATAATTTGCGTAATTACTGGTGGTAGGACCTCTTGTGAGTCCGCGCGGGTAGGTACCACCACCCCGCCTATTTCTGCCGTGAAGCAGTAATGCGTTTCGGTTTGAAGGGTGGGGCAGCCGTTGTAACTATACTGAGACCTTAGAACTTATATCTCAAGGTAGGCGGCGCATTTACGTTGTGGATGTCTATGGGCTCTAATAACCACTTAACAAACAGGTGAGCTGTGAGCTCATCCACCGATGTACGCAATTAAAAAAAAATTTTTATTTGCAGCTGAAGCGACTTGATGGTGGTAAACTGGACGACATGGCCTGAAGTCGTGAGTCGGTGGGGCGGCCGTCGCTGCTGGTACCGGCAGGGGCGCGTCCGCAACCCGCCCGTCCTCTCTACCAGTACAGAACTATCCTATTAAACGATACACAGTGCCTATAATAACCATGTCGTAAATCCACAAAAAAACTTTTAACCATACCAGTACCGATCGAAAACCAACCCTACGAGAATGTGTTAAGAAAAGTTTTTCAATATTTTACGAATTCGAATTTCGTAGTGAAACAGAGTCAAAATTTGGCCATATTTAAAATGAAATTGTCATTTGTCATTTATTGTCACCAAGGGTTCCGTAATTATGTACAACACTAAGACAGGATTTTTATTTATGTTTTCCTGTAAAGCATCGCATTGGCATGGCATGTCCTATACTCATTATTCTTGTTAAAATGTTTATCTCAGAATTAGAAAAGAGGTGATGCTCAATTTTGTTTTTTTTTTTTTTATTTTAGTTCCGAAACACTGCGACAGACCGTGTTGATAAAGGTATTTTTGCCTTCACATGTACGGATCCCTAAGGTATTGACTATCATATTAATTCCTCGCAATTTGTCACAGTAAACAGATTGTAAGGTCAGAATAAATATATCTATACCACCAATATTATTAGCTTTGTGTATGTGAATTTATTTTTGGCTAAAGAAACGGTTAGACAAGTGAACGTCTTGTACAAAAGCGTCTTCGTTTAGGCCTCACGTGCCTCAGTAAATCTCAAAAGTACAATTAGTTATTTCAATCAAAAAGCATTATCAGCAATTTGAGATTATCAGATACGTAATTAAATTATATTTGTATTTTAATCGAAGTTAATATTTAAGGAATAAAACATTTTGATAAATCTTACTTACTCATTTTTATTATTATTAATTATTATTAGTAATACATAATTAATTATTTATGTGGTAGTTGATAAATGTTACACGTTGCGTACAAACGAACACTAAGCTTAATTTATGACGGCGACACAAGGTCGATGAACTTTTTGCGGGAATAGTTTTTATACTAGGAGTGGGTAATATCGGTTTTGCCGCGTATCGAATCGTATCTATATATCGAGGATCAATATCGGATATTGAATCTATATATTTTCTGAATCTATATATTGCTAGTAGATTTTCTCGATTCATGATATTTGAGATTTGAAACGATACGCTGATATAATATTGTAGTAGATATAGATTTAAGTCAACGTTATACGGTTGGTTTTCTGATATCAATTTATAATATGATCTTAAAGTAATAAAAAGAACATGAAAATAAAAATATCAAAAAAACTTTCCTTCATGCTTTTACCAGACTTAGGACTGGCTACATTATTTTCAGTTTTTAGTATTTTGTGTCTTAATTTAAAATTACAAAATATACCAAAAGAGTCTAGATTTCAAAAGTTTAATACAAACACAAGAAATAAACTCAATTATTTGGATTCAACTAAAAATAGAAAAATGAGTACTTTAAAAATCAAACACAAAAAACTTTTAAGTATTTATAAACACTTGTCCAAAAATTCTAGTTCAAGGTCAAAGCGCGTGAAATTAAATTCAACGATGCAAATAGGCTATACTGCATTCAAGTTAGGGTCGAAAGTTGAAACTTCTTTCCTTAATTGTATCCTGCTGATACGCTAAGAATAATTTACAAACATATGGACTTAAATATAAGGTTTACAATTGTATGGATAATGCCTGTTTCTGTTTCATTCATCACATGATATCCCTATCGTGCGCTCACTCACTCTGGCCGATTCGATACGAACCAAACAAATATTGCTGATATTAACGAATCGGTACGATATGCCGATGCGCATCACATCGAGCAATATCGTGTATCGGCTGATATCGAAATATAGATTTTGATTCACGAATCGGTACGATATGCCGATGCGCATCACATCGAGCAATATCGTGTATCGGCTGATATCGATATATAGATTTCGTGCAGGGCGATATCGGATTCAACGATATATATAGATATTGAATCTATATACGATTTATATCACCCACTCCTATTTTATACGTACATATTCGTATCTGTTTTTTTGTCTTTCATTGGCGGTCTCCATAGATAATACACTTAATATTTAAGAGCGATCTCAGCCTCCAGGAGTTATAACTTTTAGATCAATTACCTGAAAAAATTAATCTATAAACTGTACCTGTTATTAGAACCAGAACGAATTACCTACAATGTAAACTATTGTTAACGTTTCAATTTGTAAAGTTGAAATCAAAACACAACCTTGTGCCTCTAATGCATAGATTAATTTATTACCCTTAAAAAAATAAAATACGTGTGTAATGAACATTTTCACAAAGCAAAACTAAATGTAATTATGATAGGTACTTGAAATGTGTATTTTGGATTTTTTTCACAGAACATAACTAAATATTACAATTTATAAAAATTTCTTAAAACTGGTTTGTACGGAAGTGTACTTAGTTTAAGAATTTAGCAAGTTGGATTTATAAAATATTTTTTTAAATATTATAAACGTAATGTATGAAGATGTTTTATTAAGAGTTTGAACATGTTATTAACGTAAATTGATAAATAAAGAAATTAAAAAAAAATCTGTTTTAATTACACAAGTATAAGATGGCAGGTACTTTGGCCAGGAAATTTGAACTTATTTGACTAAAAGTTCATCAAACCGGTTGGTACTATAAATATTAGAACGGAGTCAGTGGTGCTCAGTTAGAAAGAAACAAGAAACACGTAGGCAATCAAATATAAATTTGTATATATTTACAAATGGTTAAACTTGTACCCGTATATTGGTGTATCAGTCGAATGCACGATTTAAGAACCCATAGATGTGAAACATTTAAAAGAAACATTCATATTTATTTATATCGATAATTTACATTCAGCGACGTCGAATTAATAATTATACACATATTTAACATAAACGAATATGTACCACCTTCACTCCGAATACGGAATGGCGTTAACAAAGCTACGAATCCCGACCCAGAATCGGACCTCAATTCATTAAAAAATGTAGTCAGGAACATTAACAATTCTACTAACGAGGCTATCAAACTATTAAATATCGTATGCTCGACGCCGATTATTCCTACCTATTCACTGGTAGTCTAAGAGGCTATTCTAGCTACGCCCGGATGGGTAGGTGAGCTCACGGGCTCAACCTGAGAGAATTTGCTAACACTAACCTTAGCAAGAGCAGCGCTTCGCAGAATCTACCCCTAATCCAAAGATCCGGCGAGAAACTCAGTGGATTAGTTCAATTCACATGTTCCGGGCAACGGCGGCTTTACGTTGCCCCGTCGCGGTCCGATAAATAGTTAGCGGCGGCCACTGTAAGTTTCGTGACGCGCCGCTTTATCGAAGTAGCGCTCTGACGCTTCCTTAAGATACTTACGTATCGGTACTGAATTTAGGTAGTCGTGAAGCTCAACATTCCTAACATACCACGGTGCTCTGACGGCTATTCTGCAGAAACGGGTTTGGATGACCTGGAGAGAGTTAATGTGTGTACGTACGGGCCACGTGAGCGAACACTACACTTGCAAAGGTCATGACAAAACGTATGCAAGTTTTGTAGAGTGTCACCTTGTTTTGAAGGGGCAATTTGCTTCGCTGCGCAGATTACTTACCTATATAAATAAGACCAGTGGCTCTCGGTTGCGGTCAACAACTGTGACCGCGATTAACATTGAACACTATACAGTAATCTAATATTAATCAAGGAATCTAGTTTTAAATTACGGTATCTGTATTCAAATCTTAAAAACTTATCAGTCATTAATCGAATTTACCTTTTATTATGTACTACTTGTGTATCATTCACTACCTACTCACCTCTGGAATTCAATCGTGAAAAATCTTAGGTAGAAATAAAAAACAATACGTTATTTTCTTTGTTTATTAAAGAACCAATCAAAATAAATGCATAAATTTCTTGTTCATTATGATGACTTAGGAGCTTTATAAAGTTTTCTAACGGAATATGTACATGATTATAATAATATGAACCAAAAAAATAAACCGATATGATCCAAATATAAACTTTAAGTGTGTACTTAAATAACAATAATAGACTTGATTAAATACAGTAAGATATGAAATATCGTGTGCCGGTGGAGTTTACAAACATTAAAAAGGTTTGTTTTTAAATTCAAAATATCAATTGAAAGTATTTTAGATGAACAGATATGGTAATTAAAGTTAATATTGATTTATATATTACTTTAGATGTTGAAATATGCGTTTTTCTATAATTAAAAAAACTTTCATGATTTAGATGAACAAATTGTTTTCCTAAAGATTAAATTAAATAATACAAACAAGGACGAAATCGACAGGTGTGTAGCTTGCGCGTGACTGTAAAATAGAACAAGATAATATACTTATTATTTTATCCTTAATTCATATTATCTATTTTGATATCCTAATTAAACAAAAAAAAACTCATTAAAAGTGCTTTTTTTCATAATAGCAGATCTACTTCATCTTATAACTCAATTCCAAAACATATTTACAATTTCTCTATGTTATTTGAAACTAGCTTCCACATTTTAACAGAAGCCGTGGAATTTCTCCCGTGCTATGATAGAAATATGTACATACAGAAACAAGACTCACCTCGATCCTAATTACCTACCACATATCTTCCACAAAGTTTAACGACCTCAACGGAAATCAAGACCGAATCCCCGATATCAAAAACAATTTTGATATCGGGATATCAAAAACAATTTTGATATCGGGATATCAAAAACAATGTTGATATCAAAAACAATTTTGATATCGGGACTGCGGATTCATTTCCAGCAACGAGACAATAATAGTTTTGCTTACAAAACATACAAAATAAGACTAGTTTTCAGTCCACAGTCCACAATCCAGTTGGTTAAGTTTTTGAAGCCTCATAGTGTAGATCCACCGCTTGCCTCGAGGCAAATCACTAAGTCTGTAGCTTAGAGCTATAAGGATCCAAAATTACGGTTTATCAGTCGCAGTATCAGTTTTTTTTTAAAAAGTATGATTTTTTGTGCAAAAAGAGCGTCAGTGTTTCAACAATTTTTCAATAGTTACCGTGAAAAAAAAAACGCCAATGAGGTGCGCTTTCAAATGTTTGTTACGAGGCTCATTGCAAAAATAATCATTTTTGATATTGGTCCTATTCCCACCAAAATTAATATTTAAATCGAATTGTATTTGAACGAGAAGTTCAGAGTGTAATAAAAATGTAACAGTATTTCGAATATCAATTAATTTTTTTCAATAATATAAAAAAAATCGATTAATTTTTTTCGCACATACATATTATATTAGCCTACCATTTGCAATTTGTTTAGCTTGCAATAACAGATAAGCCGATAAGCATCATTTTATTTACCTTTTTTTGCCTTAGTTAGACACACAAGCCAACGCCAAAGGTTATCAGAGTCAAAAAAAATGTTTATTTTGACAAAAAAAAAAATGTGTATTTGAATTTCTACCATGTCGTAATACAACAAATCACCAAAGTCAAAAAACAACTCAAAAATTTGAGTAGAACCTAACCTGCCAGTAAGAGCACAAGACTAATGGTGAAAAATCGAATTAGACGTATTTTGTATGTATATATACATTTTTTTTTATTGCTTAGGTGGGTGGACGAGCTCACAGCCCACCTGGTGTTAAGTGATTACTGGAGCCCATAGACATCTACAACGTAAATGCGCCGCCCACCTTGAGATATAAGTTCTAAGGTCTCAAGTATAGTTACAACGGCTGCCCCACCCTTCAAACCGAAACGCATTACTGCTTCACGGCAGAAATAGGCAGGGCGCTTAAACCACCAATAGCCTTTCACTCCTGGATATTATGAACTAAGACATTCACCATGACCGCCCAGTCATCAATTAACAACACCCTGGCCACTGAGTTACATTCCTAGAAGCGGCCAGATTGTTTAAATTGTCTTTTCAATTGACGTTTTATTGTGGATAATACAGAAATATGTAATCGAACCGAACTTTTTGGCGGGAACGCGAGGAGTGAAATTGTGTGATTTGTTTTATTTTGTCTATTTAGCGTTTCTTCGTGTTTAAATGTGTAATAACGGTGGTTTATTAACTGTTTAATATCTGTGAAAATGCACAAATGTGGGAAAATGAAAAAAATCCGCTGGACGTAACTTCTCGGGATCCTCCAAAAAGTCCACTGGAAAATCTCAATAAAGGACCACCATTTTACTAAGATTATATTTCATCCTATATCTCATTTTATTTAATTTCATCCCAGTTGATTAATGTCTCAAACTAATCATCTTCATTTCATTTCACTCCATATTATCATTTTCCATAAATTAAGGATATAAATAAATAAAAAAGACATGCCTTAAAGGTATTAGTTACCAGGTCACAAAATTCCTTAAAAAAATATATATAAAAAAAAAGTTATCGAACTCATGCAATTCTATTATAGTAAGGCGTAAATAAATTATCAGCTCGTTGCATTTTTCGCTTTATTTCTCCGCTTAGTATTGAATTCATGTACAATCCTAATTATTTTCTTTGGATTTTATTTGCTTAGAAACTAGTCGATCGTCCAATAGATTTTAGTTTCATTGCCGTCAAATTGAATTCTCAAATCGATTTCAAATAATCGACTAGAAACAATTCTATGATATTTCTCTCTTAATGCTTGCTCATTGTGATAAAATGAAACTTGTCGTTACAACATTTCATCCTTAACGATTATGATTGTTAACTAAAAAAAATCCTTGAGAATTCCGTACTAATAATACAAAAATATAATAATTAGACTATGAACTCAGAGCAGGACGACTTTATAATTTAGCTAATAATTCGGTGTTCTATATGAACTTGAAACATTTCTGTTTGTCGTGCGGTATCCTCGTTTTGAATAGTACCGAATCAGCTCGGAATTGCGTTGACAACAGCGGCGTGTAACCCATTACCTGTGTTTGAGACATTTATATTAAACACGTATGCAATTTAACAATTATATTTTGGCATTCCCGTTCCAGCGGACAGAATGAACAGCAGTCGACGTCGCCCCAAACACGCCATTTCAGATCCTACCGATCCACTAACGGTGCTTTTAGGTACCACAAGCACCGGTCATCGTTCTCGCCGAACCCGTCGCTTGCGACAAAGGGCTCAACGAGCGAATTAACCTACAGACACAGCCCACAGAGTTTCTCGCCGGATCTTCTCAGTGGGTCGCGTTTCCGATCCGGTGGTAGATTCTGCGAAGCACGGCGCTTGCTAGGGTTCGTGTTAGCAACGTCATCAGGTTAGAGCCCCGTGAGCTCACCTACTAGTTAAGGTTACGCTGAAATAGCCTCTCAAGGCTCTCAGCTTAGATAGGATAAAAAAAATTTTTTGGCTTTGCGGCCTAGAGTATCACTGTCCCATTTCTGTCCGGGGGTATTGTAGGGGGTATAACGTACAGATTTATCGGTGAATAGGCAACAGCGTTCTCTAAAAATTCTGTAAACGCGCTGAGATCACCAAGTTAGACAGGCGTTACACAATATAAACTTCGTTCTCACGCTCCGAGATGGTGGAATTCACGTTGTCTATGGCCTCCAGTAACCATTTCAGAACAGGTGAGCTTTAAACTCAATCACCCATCTACGTAATAAATAAACAAAAAGTATGCGTTCGTTGTATGTTCCGATCCAATAAATAAATCTAAACAAACAGACCTGTGTGAAGAATTGTATGCATTTGTGACGTTCGTGAAAATGTGTTTCATCGGCTGACAACGTAACCGGACAACCGGGACATCGGAACGTCCATCGTGACGTCACCTGAGGAACAAATAACTCATACTGTAAATTCATTTTCTTTCAACCGATTTTTTTATGAACTTTCATTCTTAAAAAAAAAACTACTGGTGGTGGTTCCAAAGACTTTTCTAGTTTCACCAGGACAGGTAGGGTTAGTAGACTCAGCCAGGAGGGATGGGATTTGCTAACAGTTGTCCGAGCGCCTCCGAAAGAAAGCTAACAGCTCAAGAGCTGCTGCTTCGCGAATACTTCTTTCAATCGTGTGGTAGAAGGGAAGTCGAAACTAATATTCGCTCAAAGAGATTATCTTCGCAATGTATATTATTCTTAAGTTCAATATGACTTAAATACATTATCGATGCTACTAAAATGAGTAACGCCGTCTTAAAAAAGGCAATATTATCTTTAAATCATTCAAATTTGCTTTACTTATAGAGTGGACCAAAAAGGAAACCCTTTGTCATTATTTTAAATTTTACCCTGATACCGGTTTTATCGGTTATAAAGAAACAAATTTATATTTTTTTCCACAGAAATCGTATTAGCCATGCCAACCAGCCTTGGAGGCAAATATCGCTTACAGTATTTTTTAATTAAACTTCATTGGTAAGAAAACTTTTATAAAACATCCACAAGATGGCGTTATAGATTGATTTTATATATTACATTTACTCTTTTTATTCGTTATTTAAATTGTATAAAAAAAAAAGATAATCCGATTGAAAAGCATAGATGAAAATGGTACTTAACAATATTGCCTTTACCTTTACATTACCGATGTAACAAAACGTTAACTGCCTCACAGTCATAGTACCATAAAAAAGTTTATAGATGGCGCGCAAGTCATCAGTATTAGTTTCTCTAGTAGTTCAAATTGATTTTACCTTTACGGGAGGCTTCCTAGTGATGTGAGCAACTAGGAAGTTCATCGCAATGTCTTCGCAGTTCATATATTCGTCGACGTAATCTCTCATGGCGGCGGGCAGTACTCGCCAGTACGCCCATAAGTAGTAGCGATGGACGAACGCCGCTCCAGTCAACACCATGCTTAGCTCACAGCTGTTGGACACGATTATACCGTATTGGAGTGTGCGAAAAAGTGTTAATAAGGTATTCAATAGGCTATTTTCAATTGTTACAAAATTGTGTTCTGTTCTGGTAAAAGTTATTTTGCCTGTTCCACAAAAACCACTTTGAATAGTAAAAGCTTGAGATGTCTATTTTTTTCTCTACCTACTGCTAGTAGCCTCTAGAGTTTATATTAGCTACACCGAATGTGTAGGCGAGCTTACGGTTTTAGACTGGGAAACTTTGCTAGCACCTGCCCTAACAAGAGCATTCTACCACCGGATCAGGAATCGCGACCCACTTAGAAGATCCGGCAAGAAGCTCATTGGACTGTGTCTGTGGATTAAGTTGCACGTCGAATCCTTTGTGGTATTCGATGAGAACGGTGACCAGTTCTTGGAATGCCTAAAAGCGCCGACCTCTACTCTCAACAGCACAGATTATCCACGAACATACAACACTCGTTCTTCGGAGTCCTGACTCTTTTATTTATGGTTTTTAAGTGCTCTTCAGAAAACTCAGGTGATTCCTATGGCTCAACTTGTGCTAAAAAATATTTTTCTTATGCTTATCATTGTTCGGTACTTTAATACTTAAATTACTTGGCGTTTTTAGATTCAAGAATAAAACAGCAATGAAGAAAAACTTCTTCTACTTACGCTAATTATTTATCTCTTTGCAAAATTGACTTTCTATTATTATTTCGTTTCGCAGATTACAGTATTTACCATAATATAGTGATGTCACAAACCTTAGTAACATTGCGGTCAAATTCAATATTAAATACAGATTTAAAAAATATATTAATTTATATATATATGGTATATAATTTAATGGAATGCAGTGTACTAACAGTGATCCGTCATTTCCTTTTATGTTTTGTAATTTGACAGTTTTTAGTGACATCGCTTTCTCTGTTTCAATTCACGCGAACATCAACGTGATCTGTTGGATGTGAATGTGAAACTCATTTTAAGGAATATACTCGAGATAGACGATCTTATTATGATTCAAGATAAAGTTTGTATCCCATACCTATAGTTCGAATTGTAGAGGAATCCATTATTAAAATTAAGATCCCAGGCGTGGTAGCGACCGGGAAAGCCCACAATCTGATCACGATGCTCGCGCCAGACGCTGGACAGAAAGTGAAATAAAAATATAGGCGAAGCACGTATAATTATATTACTTTAGATGCCCGTGGTATGTTCTTGTGAAAATACAGTTACACGAGCCAGCAGATTTTTTAATACGCTTTTATTAGCTTCAGACGTATGTATGTTTGTAACGGAATCTTTAAACATGATTTTGACCCCCTTCAAAACGTCGGATTAACTCGAAATTTGGTATACTTATTAAGGACCGATGATAATTCAATATTTAAAAAAAAAATTTGAAAAAACTGAAATTCGACTAAAAAAATTAAATTAAATAATAGTTTAAATAAACTAACAAAATACGCTTTTATAGAAAATCCAACTAAAAAATGGAAAATAAATTTAATAAATTTTAATTTAAAATAGTGTAAGAATAAAATATTTTATTGTAAAAAAAGCGTGTTGAAAAGCGTATTTATTTCATTAATTTTAGTTAAACAAGCAATCATGGTTCGAAAATCAGTAATTTGCGGGAGGTATTAGTCAGATATTCCTGCCGCGAAACATAGATGGCGGGCGATATTCAAATTGTGACGTTAATCCCTGGGAATAGAGAACAATATCGTTTGTAATATACCGGAACGCGAATATGATCTCGTCGTGTCGTAGATGCGCGTCGTCGTCAACGCACAGTACGGCCTCGGTTTCGATCAGCTGGTAGGGCAGAAAACGGTTGTTGAGGGAGTTCCGCGAGCCACGCACCACCGCCACCGGCGCGCCGCTCTCCGGCCAAGAACCCGCTCCTGCGCTCGAAGGACCATTCCACACCACAACTACCTAAACACATACCCCCCTATTACTATAACGTATTACGAGAATGGCGTTTTTTTTTGTATAATATACTTGTCACGATGTAACAGTAATTTTAGTAAAAAATCAACTACTTTATTACGTGACATTATAAGCAAAAAACCAAAGAGTTCAATAACGAGGATCTTGAATGGTTAATCACATATATAAAAATATATGTAAAAATTGTACTCTCTAAAATAAAAAAAGGAAAATTGTTGTGTCTGTTTAAAGTAAATAAGTTGGAACCCCTTTAAAACTGGTAGAAGGGATAATAATCATTGTAAAATACCAAAAATATTAATATACATTAATCTACACCTTTGAACAGTATTTAGATACTTTAAGTCGTTATTGCATAACACTAGACATGATGTAAAAAATTATTAAGATGTGTCGTTAAACAATGACGTCACAGTTATGTCTTTACTGTGTTATTAGCTTATCGTTCGTTTATGGTACCCTGCATTTAATTTACAATTCTATGATAACATAATTTGTCTTTTCAGTTAATTCTTTTTTTACGTTATCGTTACGTTATCATGTTACTACTACTTGTTTGTAAATGATTTCAAACTGTGCGTAATAGTATGTTGCCAACAACGCTTACCTTATTCAGATATGGAAGACCGCGTAATCGTGCCAGTGCTGCTGCTAAAACCGCCTCGCGTTCATACGTGAGGATGACTATGGTGAATTGTTCGCGAGGTCGATCTCCACCCAGAGCTTCGCTAAATTCGCGTCCCGAACCGCCAGCCCCAGCGCCCACGGGCCGAAAACCCGCCGCCGACCCCAAGAAACGAGCTTCAGACGTCACCGTCGGATCCCACGGTAGTTGTGGATACAGAGCGAAAGGTTCACCCCACTCGTTCCATAATTCGTATCCGTGCAACAGGCCGACGGAGAAATTTCGCTGATATGTTGGGCTCGAATACGGAGCCTCCAGCGGACCTAGCGTCTCCTCGGGCTCTGCGTCGACCGCGGCTGGCTCTACTCGAGGAGGAAAGTATGAGTCATTAAAAGCCGGCAACCCGACGGTATGAGGCACTGGTTTTGGCGGAATGTGTAAGCGGGTGCGAATAGTTGCCAACAATGAATCAATGCTGGCCTGAACTGAACTCAAATATCTTTCCCAAAGTACTCTACCCTGTCTTCGTAGAGCTAAAAGGTCGGCGTCGGGAAAAGATCTCATTAAAAAATGCATTTCCGTGACCCGCGCTTTCGGCAGTAAGATTACGGCGCGTTTCCAATCCAATACCTCTTCGTATGGCAGACGAATTCTGTCACCGCCTAGGACGACAGGTATAGCACCAGATCTGAGCGCTTCATACAATCTAGCCTGTAGTAGAGCTGTTGTAACGTAATTTCGATCAGCAGGCGCAAGTATGAGTACAAAAGTGGAATCACGCAATACGGCACGCCTCGATCTATCCGTTCCACAAAGCGCCCAATCGCCTATCGGCAAAGTTACGCGTTTCTCCACTGGAGGATCACATTCGAACTGCAGAAAAAAAACATCAGACGCTGGTGCTGTTTTCACCATTTTTTCTAGCAATGATATCAACGTTCCATCTTGATCCTTGTCTAATCCTTTAGGCGGTGGTTGTAAACCCTGAAAACTAAAGGTTGCTTATTCATATGTTCATTTTTATTTTAAAAAAAATACAATTTAGAGCTAGCTTATCTTTATGAAAATGAAAAACAAAATTTTACATCGTTTCAATACCTGAGCAAGTACTTTCTTCTTGCGGGAGATATAGGCGCACAATCTGCCCAAACATCACCACCCGGAGGGCCTAGTGCCGGTGGTGTGATTACATCAAAACCTGGTCTAAAATGATTGTGCGTAAATGTAGATTGAGCTAGCATGGCTCTTCCTGTGGATGCTCCTCTAAAAGCATCACCAGAACCGACAGATAAGTCACGTCGGGCTAAATTCAATAACACATGGTTACGCCCATCGCCACCCCAGTAAGGTAAGGTAGTAATAGCTGACCCATTGAGATAAAGTTTGTAGGAGTCTGAGACAGTACTGAAATAAGAAAAAAGAAGGTTGTATAAAAACAAATATTTCCATATTTCCATCTGTATTCAAGAACTACTTGACAAATTGACTTACGTAGTGTCTTTGGTAAATGGAAAAGATTCTCCTACAATAATAAGGTAAATACAGGCCTCATTTGGGTTATGTGTCAGATGAGCATTATATCCTAAAGTTTGACGTAAAGTAGTTTTAAGAAACCCATCTACTTCTGCACCAGTTAATGGAGTGTATATATCGGGATCATAAAGATATACAGGGAAGCTCGAAGTAAGGGAACATCGTGAGTGATCAAAACATGAAAACATTCTACAATTTATTTCATTGCTGGGACTTAAGGAAGGAAGAATTGATGGCGGTTGTAACGGCACTATTTGAATAGGTGGTGCAAGTTCAGGCGAATCCCTACGTATTGCTTCTAACTGGGCCAGTCGCGCTTGATCAGCTGACACTCTGAGCCTTTGTAATTCTGCAGCTGCTCTTACATACTCTGCTTTTGCATTATCTGCTTTTGAGCTTGCCGCTGCAGCCTCACGTTGTAAGCGACCTCGTTTTGCCTCTAGCTCTCGGAGTTCTGTTGATACTGATGCCTGTAATATGTATCACACAAACTATCTTCAATGTGTCAAGCTAAGATACTTTCTTAGTATGAATGATTTAGAAATTAAATAATTTTTAACCTTTATTCTTAACATTTCTTCTATTCTAACTTTGAGATCCGCAACATTCTTAGTGGATATATCACTAAATGCCTCGAGATTGTACCTCAAAGCATTGTCACCCTGTGATATTGACATTGATTCATACTGAAAGAGAAAATGAAAAATCATCAATGTTATTGGCTTATTTCATAAAATAAAAACTGGATAAGTGCGAATAAAACTTGCAGTCTAATAGGTCCATACACGAGGCTATTCCATAGCTCTTCTACTGTTATAAACTCAGTACTTGGTATATTTATCACTTTGATGCATGAGGAAAATGGCAGGAGACCGACAGACACATAACAAGGTGATCCTATAAGAGTTCCTTTTCTTCCTTTTGAAGTTCGAAATGAAATTAATATCTAGCTTGCTCTTAAATTAGTATTAACCAAAAATATACAAAGGCAATTTTGTGGCAAGCAAAAAATACATTAAGTACTGGGTATTTAAGAACAAATTTCTCTAGTAAAGCCACATGACAAATTAACATAAATAATACCTACTACAATTTTAGTGTCTTTGTTAATATTACATTAATTGTATTATTATAATGTCACTTGAATAATTATAATATCTGCAACTACAAAGATTTTGCTAAAACCTGAATTGCTGTAAATCAAGATAGGTTTATATTTCTATATTATTGTGTAGTTTTGAACAAGCATAGAATGCACATGATATTAAGTGGATACTAGAGCTCATAGAAAACACGGTGTGAACCTACCCACTTTGAAACACGAGGTCTAAGTCTCTATTGTATAGCATAACAGCTCTTCCCTTCAATTGCAGGCTGACAAAACACACTACCAGCAGTAACTACAGATATCATTATTTTGTAACTATACTGAGACCTTAGAACTTATATCTCAAGGTAGGTGGCGCATTTAATTAGATGTCTATAGGCTTCAGTAACCACTTATCACCAGGTGGGCTGTGAGCTCGTCCATCAATCTAAGCAATAAAAAAAAACAAAGGTTTGATGTTTACTACAATATGGTATTCTTTCATCATAAGAGTCATTCATCAATGTATGTTATGTACCAGTCATTATAAGAATTGTTATGTGCCTACAGAATCTGAACACTGGCATTGCATGAAATAAATACACCAGGTTTTCTTTAGGCTGTAATGATTTCAAGCCCATGACTTCATCATGACTTCTCTTGTAACATTGTTTCAGTTCTCGATTCTAGCTCAGGAAAATCCATAACTTTGTAATAAGTATGTATTGCTGTTAGTATGTGAACCTAAACAATTAGTCTTGTATTACTGAGCAAACCAATCTTTACAATTTTTAATTAAACGGTAAGATATTTAGTTAATTATATACAGTGAAAATAATAATAAAGTTCGATATAGAACAGTATATATATTATTATGCTTACCTTTGATAAATAGTAGTGCGTAAAAAGTGGCACAACAAATAATATCACCGAGACCAATATTATTACACGTGATAGTTTCAAATGTCCCAACCACAAACAAAAACGTTCATATATTATATTCATTATGGATATGTTTACAACCTTAACTTTTTCGAGAGATTTCTAATTCAGAGCCACATACTTCCCAATGTAACTTTATCAATTAAATAAAGTTCCTGAAATGTTCTTCCATGGCTGTTAAAAATTAAAGATATTTAAAACATTAATGTTATACCTACTATATGTTTTAATTTGATACTCTACAATGTAAAAAAATTGTATCTTTAAATAAAATAAAAAATTCTAAAATAAAAGTCAAAGTAAATTAGTTCAATGCAAAAAATCATGTAAATACAATGTAAATGATAACTATTAATGAAAACTAACTAAAACTAATAATAAACCGAATTCCAGAAAATAAAAAGATATTTGCAAATGAAATCATTTTTAAATTCAATACGTTACATACCTACCCATTCACAGAAAGTCCAAACAAAAACATTACATACGAATTTTTCTTTCATCAACAACTTAAAGCCCGCCATAGATTGTAAACTTAATATTTTAATTTGTACCGTAAAATGGGGCGATTAGGGACAAATTCCAACTTTATGAGCAATTTTATGGTAGTTGTTGATGTATAAAATGCTATATAAGGATCAAAATGATTGAGTCTTGGGGGCATCTTTGTTGTCTAATTTAAAATTATGCAACTAGCATTCCAGTTTAAGCAAAAAATGCAAAAATAGGTGTAATCCCTATTTACCCGAAAATTGCGGTTAATTGGGACGAAATGAGAAATTTGCTAGGGTTGGTACTACTTTTATTTTCATATATAGTTTTAATTAATTAATTTATTTAGTTGCACCAACAAAGTGATCATCAATAAAAAAAATTGAAAAACTTACAAAAGTACATGGCAGACATCACCTCAATTATAGGTGCAATCGACAGTGCTGATATTTCTATCTGAATTAAGAGATTAGGTGTGTCGGTTATTCCATGGATTAATCAGATGAATACCCCTACTCTGAACAAATATTAAATATTTTATTATGTATTACTTAGACATTTTTGTCCACCTTGAGATTTCATTGATCTTGTTACATGTCTCTGCAAAATCGACTTACTTATATTAAATTGCTTATCTATTTCAACTAAAGACTTATTTCCAATTTCGCTTCGAATAAACCAGATTTTTACCAACAAATTTAAAATATATTGTTATAACTACATAGACAACCCTACAAACCTGTACCTATTTATACTTAGGTCGTTTCCATTTCACGTATTCTCATCCCAATTGACCTCTTTTTCGTTGTTATTTGTACCTATGACGTCCCCAATATCCCCAAAAACAACAGATTTTTACATGTATTTTTATTTAATCAAATACATTAAAACCAATAACAACTGAGACTTACCTTTAATATATATGCTGGTTCAAACACTAAATAACGTTTATAAATCATAGTCGTCTTCTATTATTATCAAATAAATCAAAGAGAGCAAAGTTTCTAGCACTAAAATAATTACCACCACAGNGTATTTTTATTTAATCAAATACATTAAAACCAATAACAACTGAGACTTACCTTTAATATATATGCTGGTTCAAACACTAAATAACGTTTATAAATCATAGTCGTCTTCTATTATTATCAAATAAATCAAAGAGAGCAAAGTTTCTAGCACTAAAATAATTACCACCACAGGAAGTTAATTTGAAACGCGATTTTTTATATGTTAGCAGCTATTATCATGCATGTTCAGAGTTGTTTTATGAACTTTCAACATTCTACTATTAAACTACAAAAAATGGAAGATTTTGCAACGAATATAAAACTTATATTGAGCATCGAAAAATTTTCCAGGTTTTTTCCCGATTCACCTCTCAATCCCTAATCGCCCCATTTTACCGGTACCGTACTAATTAAAATATGCCTACGTATAATCTATGATGAAGAGGAGGACGTTAATCACTTTTGGCGGGAACGCAAGGAGTGAAGTTGTGTGATTTGTTTTATTTTGTCTATTTAGTGTTTCTTCGGGTTTAAATGTGTAATAATGGTGGTTTATTAACTGTTCAATGTCTGTGAAAGTGCGCAAATGTGGGAAAATAAAACAAAGCCGCTGCACGTAACTTCTCGGAATCCTCCAAAAAGTCCACTGAAAAAATCTTAGTAAATGAACGCCATTTTACTGAGATTATATTTCATCCCATTTAATTTCATTTAATTTCATCCCAGTTGATTAATGTCTCAAATTAATCATCTTCATTTCATTTCACTCCATAATATCATTTTTCATAAAAATATAGATATAAATTAAAATAAGACATGACTAAAGGTCTTAGTTACCAGGTCATAAAATCCATTAAAAAAAAAGTTAACTAGGAATGGCGATTTAAGTTCGATAAATCGAAAAATCGATTTTTCAGGCTAAGGTCAAAAATGGATTTGGAACTTTCATAAGTTAACTGTGAAAAAGCAACTCTCTACATTACTCTTACACTGAACACTTAAGCTTAAATGAAGAAATTAAATACTATTTGTCGCAGGCAGTTGTTTATCTGAAGTGGGACTATATATTTTACTGGCAAGAACAAAAAAAAAATATCACCACGTTCACTGAACAGCAATGATGTTTATGAGTATCCTGGGATCACCTGTAATTGCAAGCATATAGCATCTATTTTTTAGAAATCAATCTTTTGGATCTCGATTTTTCTTGTGAATCGCCATCTCTAACATTAGCTTTGACTTTTTAATTTTGTTCAGTGCATAGACCTATATGTAGTTCAGTGTTTTTATATTTTTATTACATATATTTATTATAATTTCATTAAACTTCATCCCTTTATCTATTTTAGATAAATTAGGCACAACTTCAGCATTGCTAATATTAATTTTAATAACTTAAGCTGTTGAGTGTTAAACCTTCACCTTTCCTTTATTGAAAATTAAAACTGTTGCTGTAGTTACTTGTCAATATAAGAATGGATGTGGATATAGGAGGTGAATGAAGTTAGCCCCTAAAAAAAAATTTTTTTCCTATTTTATACTTATTTTCTATTAATTCGTTTGTTCATCATTTGTTCATGATTGTTCACTGTTAATAATTGTTTGTTCTGCATTTATTTATTTAAAAAAAATATTTAAAATGTACCTACAAGTTAGCCCCTCTAATGCAATTTTTAATATTTTTTCATCCTTAATGACTCGTAAATATTCATTTTCGATTGTTCTTATATAAAACACGTTTGTTCTCTTTCGAAATTACTCGTTTTTTGTTTAATTTACTATTTTTATTAGTTGAATAAATGTATGCAAAATATGTGTACTGCGCATGCGTCAACTATAATGCCTAAACTTTCTACGCGGTTTTAATCGTGAAAAAAAAAACAAATATAAATCCTGAAGGAGCAATTAATTGGTATACAGTTTAATTAAAAAAATTAAAAAATAAATAAATGAAATAATGTGCATTGGCGTTAAGTTAGACCAAATACATTTTTTCCATCCTCCTACTTATCGTTATGAAGGTATAAAAAAGATAGGGAGTTCACATAGGTAATATAAACAAATAAGTAAATATGTTCATTATTTATCTTTCAAGAGATAATATAGGTATACATTATAATAACTTTTTTACACAGTCGAAATTATATTCCTAACATTAGTAAAATAACATTTTAATACGATAGGTAAGAGGATGGAAAAAATGTATTTGGTCTAACTTAACGCCAATGCACATTATTTCATTTATTTATTTTTTAATTTTTTTAATTAAACTGTATACCAATTAATTGCTCCTTCAGGATTTATATTTTTTTTTTTTTTCACGATTAAAACCGCGTAGAAAGTTTAGGCATTATAGTTGACGCATGCGCAGTACACATATTTTGCATACATTTATTCAACTAATAAAAATAGTAAATTAAACAAAAAACGAGTAATTTCGAAAGAGAACAAACGTGTTTTATATAAGAACAATCGAAAATGAATATTTACGAGTCATTAAGGATGAAAAAATATTAAAAATTGCATTAGAGGGGCTAACTTGTAGGTATATTTTTAAATATTTTTTTTAAATAAATAAATGCAGAACAAACAATTATTAACAGTGAACAATCATGAACAAATGATGAACAAACGAATTAATAGAAAATAAGTATAAAATAGGAAAAAAAAATTTTTTTGAGGGGCTAACTTCATTCACCTGGATATAGGTACATTTCCTTATTTATTTACTATGGGTAGACTATTAATAAGTGTATTATCGACTTTTTGGCGGGAGCACGAGGAGTGAAGTTGTGTAATTTGTTTTATTTTGTCTATTTAGTGTTTCTTCAGGTTTAAATGTGTAATAATGGTGGTTTATTAACTGTTTAATATCTGTGAAAGTGCACAAATGTGGGAAAATGAAACAAAGGCGCTGAACGTAACTTCTCGGGATCCCCCAAAAAGTCCACTGAAAAAATCTTAGTAAATTACCACCATTTTACTGAGATTATATTTCATCCCATATCATCTCATTTCATTTCATTTAATTTCACCCCAGCTGATTAATGTCTCAAATTAATCATCTTCATTTCATTTCACTCCATATTATCATTTTTCATAAAAATAAGAATATAAATTAAAATAAGACATGACTTAAAGGTCTCAGTTACCAGGTCATAAAATCCATTAAAAAAAAGTGTATTATCTATGGGGTAGACCCCCAACTCTGCTCATGGCATTACCGTGCGAGTCAGCGAGTCTATATGCGCGAATAATCACTTACCACCAGGTGAGCCATACGCTGCCATCGATAATAGAGTCGTAAAATATTACAATTTGATGGCAATGTTTATTTGTTTGTTTAAAACCGTAATAGGTATTTGAGTCTTTCGCCGATTTCAAACTTCCGATTAACTTGCATAAGCATCAAGAATGCGATAATAATATTAAATTTTATAACTTCTTCTAATATTCAGAGTAGTATTAAAAGCATAAAAAAAGATGAAGTTAAATATCATTTTATATACGTGTTTTTTTAAACTACATATTATTTCCGACGTTTCAAATACTTTATAGATTTGGTTACGGGCTACAAAGGTACGTCGACATTCGTATATTTCCATAACTCAAGTAACAAGAAATAATTGAGTACAATTTCTTTATAGAAATGAAACGATTAAATCATAAAAGTATTTTTTGTAAAAACATAATAGATCTTATGTTGCGCTGACAATCTCCAGTGGCTTCGATATCCATGACTACACACCGTATTCTCTGGACTTAAACGTAATTCAAAATTTATTTCCAAAATTCATGGAGCGCATTTGTGCAGCTAAGTTTTCCAATACTTACACAATTCAGACTTCCACGGCGCTTTTTCTTAAGTCGGTAGCCGAAACTGCTCACGAAATCTCTGCGTCGAAGTGCACGGCGTAGGTGAACCTGTCATAGCCACCCTCTACAAGACTCCCCTTCACTCTCGATCTTCGAACCCCACAAGAGACAGAACCCGAGAGAGGTAAAAGAGTATATATACCACGGTAAAAACTGTAACCAGACGTACGGCTCACATCAATGGCAGTTATCGAGGCGGATAGACTGCTCTGTGTCGGCCATCAAATCGGCGGTCCATCGGGTTGTCTGAGCGGTGTCGCCGATGTTTCAGGATACTCTCGGCCTCGGCCACTTTAGTCATCCTCTACCTCTATAGAGGCCTTTAGGCCGCCTCCTACAGGTAGAAAACGTCAATATTTTTTGCTATGGACGGATATGATTTTTTTTTTATCTTATAGCTATCTTTATATGATAGCCTTGAGAGGATATTTCAGCTTCACCCTAACACGTGTAGGTGAGCTTACGGGGCTCAAACCGGTGTTGCTATCACTGGCCCTGGCAAGAGCAGTGCTTCACGGAATCTACCACCGGTTCGGAAACGTGACCCACTGTGAAAATCCGGCGAGAAACTCAATGGGCAACGGATATGATACTTAAAATAGAAGAAAACTAAAATTATTTGTATTTTATTTTATTTTATAAAGAGTTTATACTTATTTGTACCCAAATATATTTATTAAGTATACGCCATATTGCTTAAAAACTATATGATGATAAATGATAAATAAAACTATGAGATGAACTGCTAAAGCAAAATAATTGCAGTGCCTTTGTGAATAAATTTTTTTTTTCATAACGTATTTATTTTTAACATTTTCTTAATAAACTTAATAATTTAATAAAAGTAACAAATAATAACAAACGGACCAATAGGTATAAACAAAAAAAAATTGATATTTCTTCTTTTCCCATAAAATATGTAATCTTCGATGGACTAAATAATATCAGTTTCCACGTTTATATACGTTGTTTTGTATCTTAAATGTCTACTTTTGATTTTCACCTTTTTCTCATAGAACAATTTTATAGCTGCTTGAATCATCCCACTGATATTTATTTTTAAACTTCTTTTCTATGTATTTCTACTATATCGAAATTTTTATTTACTTGTTTAACAGCGTGTTGAATTTTTAAATGTTTAAACAGATCCGCCGGTGTAAAATTTAAATTACATTTAGAACATTTCTGATTAGTATTTTTAATTTTCGAATTACAGTTTCGAAGGTGACTTTCACCAGACATTTTATCTGGAAAGCATAAATCACAAATTGTGCACTTGTATAATTTTAATGATTTTTCAGCATCCAGCATAATTTCAAAATTACTTCCGAGATGTTTCTCAAAACTAACTGTACTGTCTTTTTCAGTTCTGATAACGGTCTCATCTAAATTACAATTTTGTTGCTGCGTTTCGACAAATACAACTATATCTATATGCTCTTTATTAAATTCTATCTCATTTTCGTGCAACATAAGATGCTCCCGCATTTCATTATTAGGTAAGACTACTGGACATTTAAAACAAGAAGAATATTTTTGGTTATTCTCACATTTGTGTGTGAGCACTCCATGTGAGTTTTCGGACCTAAAACATAATCCGCAAACAGAGCATTTGAAAAACTTATAATCCAATACCTTGCCTGAAAACGTTCGCCGTTTATTTTTTATTTGTATTTTATCCTTTGGTCCTCCTTTTAAATCCTTACCAAATAAAACTACTTTTATAGATTCTTCGTTAAAATTACTCAAAAATTTGTGTTTATCAATATGTGAATCATAATTGTGGTGATCAATTAATAGACCGCATTTGTCACACATTTTCAAGTTACTGTGTTCACATTTATGTCCACTTTCTTGATGTTTCGAAACAACACAGTTGCAATTCCGACACTGATATAGAATGTAAATATTTTGACAAGAGATAATACTATTGTTAAACTTCTTATCAGTTTCTTTGTTGAACATTACAATTCTATATGAGTTTAGGCCTAATCCGGGGCGGGTATGAATTTTCGAATGATTGGATCGAGAAATAGTAGATTCGAAGGGCAACCCACAGACGGAACAAGGATGTTTTCTAGACTTTTGATTACACAAATTTTCTGCATGTTTAAAAATCAAATTAGGGTCAACGAAGGTTCGACATCTATCGCATTTATAAAAAGTTAAATCGAATGGACCGTCTTGATGCAACTCCATCTTTATTCTATGTTCATATCTATAAATAGATTTACTTACTACATCGTCAGCTTCTTCTTTCGAAAGAGAATTAAAAACATTTTTGCTCCAAATATGATTTTCCGACGTAAAGTAAGACAAATCAAATTCGATAGATCTGTGGGCTTTCCAAATTTTTCGTTCATGTAACTGATAGTGTTGACTAATATTTCCAATATCAAAAGAGAATTCACATTCGTTACATTTGTAAGGAACAAAGTTATTTTTGTTATAATGTTTTTGACAATGTTCAACTGTCGAATCGTAAGTATCTAATGTTATACCGCAACTTTTACAAGTGTATAGTAGTTGGGGTACTGAGACATTATTTGGATTTGTAATTTTAGCCGTATTTTCACTTTCATCTAGCTTTAATTCTTCTATTGAAATCGATGATTTATTTTTGCTCCAATACTCTATTGAATAAACATGGAAAGACTCGTGCAACTTGAAAGCTGTTTCGGACAATTTAATCTTGCATATGTGGCAGATCAGATATTTTTCATCACTGCAGGAATGTATTGTTACAGAAGCTTTCCTAACAAAATGAACTTCACAGTTGTCGCACTTTGGATATTCAGGCACGGTGGGGCACACTAGTGCACCGTTTTCATCTAAAAATTTAAAATCCTGTAATTTTAAATCCTTCTTAAACTTGTGCAAATTCATGTGGGTTTTTAATGCATTATTTGAAAGTACGAGTCCGCATAGCACACATGGATATTTAACTATATTTGAACATCGTGACATCGTATGAGACTTGCGAGTCAGCGCAACATCACTAACAAAAGATTTACATGTTTTACAGTAAAACATGTTTGGCACGAATTCTTGCCACGAATTTGATTTAAAAACGATCTTTAAGCGAGCTTTTGCATTTTGAACCAATTTCGTTTGTAAATTGCTGCCTTTATTTGGGCTCTTTATATGCTTATCTTTACGAGAAAAAATGTTGAATTCTTCAGAGGTCCTTTCATTTCTTCTATTACGTATAGAATTAACCTTTCCTTTTTTTAACGCTGATTTTACCGTATATCTATCGTCCTTGTTGCTATAGCTGTTGTTTTTAGATATAGGCCTATCCAAATCACTATTATTGTTAGTTATTGTTTTAGCATGAACGGCATGACTCTTTTCAACCTTCTCTATAATAAACGCAGAATCTATAATGATGAAATCTTTTAGTATATAATTTTTGAGTCTATGAGAGTCCTTATGCGATTGAATGATACTTTGATCTATCAAAATTTTACAATAGTGGCAGTTTGTAGAAGTTCGGGATTTAGATGCTGTAACGTTAGATGTTTTTGAGCAGCAAGAACTGTAATGGGGTATGAAATTTTCTTCTGCATAATGCACATCACAGTGTTTACATTTAAATAATACTTTATCAATGAGCGATTCATTCATTTCAAATGTGTCGAAATGCTCAAAATAGCGGTGTTGCTCTTTGTGCGTTAATTCATCTTCAGACTTGAATATGCGATTACAAGTTTGACATTTCCAATTTACCAATAATTCCATATGTTCCGTATGCATCATTGCTACATAGGCAGACAAGAAAAATAGATCACATTTTGTGCATCTAAATAACATATTTTTGTAAGCCACTAATCCTACGATGTCATTGACACTTTTCTGTAACTTTGACTTCAGTAATGTGTCGTCTTCATCCTTTGTTAGAACTTGAGTCCCAATTTCCAGCGACGCAGATTTTTTTTTAAATTTCGTTTCTATTACGACCTCCTTAAACAGATTTCTGTGATTATTATATAAATGTATATTATATGAAGGAATATCGTTAAACTTCAACGAACAGTTCTTACAATTACCATCAAAATTAACTTTCTTAATGACAGGGGTCTGTTTGAGTTTATGCCATTTTATCGCATGTTTGTTAAATCTATGAATGTTCTTGAAATAATACGAACAAACAGAGCATCTCATAAAATTATTTAAGTCTGTCGACTCCCTTTTATCATCGTGATTTAGCGTTTGTTTTTCTGAATTACGTAGTTGTAAAGGTTTCATGAATTTCCCAACATTCTCTAACCTTACCTGACAGTTTTTAATTATTTTAGCGTTCGGTATTTGTGGACTACAGGTGTTTTCAGGATCTCTCAAATTTTCCACATCATTATCACGACCTGTATGGATCGAAACTGACTTAGAATGTGTGGAATTGTTTACTCGTTCTTTATTGTTTGCAACTATGTACATGTGCTCTATAAGTGCACTTGCAGAAAGGAATTTTTTATTACAATGTGAACAAATGTAACAAGATTTCCTTTTATTGGAATTTGGTTGTATGCATTTTTTGGTCTCCGAAGTGGTTTTTCTTTTTCTCTTAATTGTTTTTGGATTTTTATTATGAACATTTTTTAAATGTCGTAATAAATTGCTTCTTGAAGACAACATTGCACTGCAAATGTTACATTTTGTGTATTTTGTATAGTCGTTTTCTACCAAAGGATATTGTTTAGTACGTATATGATGCACTAACTTTTTATGACGACTCATAGAAGACGTGTGAAAAAACAAAATTTTACATTTACTACAATATCGTTCATTTTTACTCAATGAATGCTGGATATCTTCAACTATTACTTTTAATTGGGGATTTTTATTTTTTGTTACTTCATTTGCAACGGTTGTGTTGGAATACGTACTTGGTTTTGAACCTAATATTATTTTGTTGCCATAAAAACATAAATTATCATTTTGAGTACTCATACAAGTAATGTCACTAATAACGTTAGCATTAAAATTGCACGAATCAATCAAATCTGAATGATTACTTTGAAGAATGTTTTCTTTTACATCATTTTCACTATCGCATTCATCTATATTTATGTCTCCCAATTGGGAATTCAACGAAGCGGGTGGTTTGATATCTGTAAAAAAAATTAAATTATAGTCATAATGCAAATCACAGCGCTGTTAAAACCATTGTGATCTGTGAACTATACAATATAAAGGGAACCGTGCACAGAGCCGGAATGACAATCAGAAACTACCTCAACATGAACGGCAAACAATATTCAGGTGCTAATCGAATTCACGAAATCACGAATCTTCACACGTTCCATCCTAGCCATTTTTACCTGACTTGAGCGTCAAGTTCTTTTATTTATTGTTTAAAAAACTGATATATTATTACAAAAATCCATTAATTATAATATGTAACCTTATATTTGTTCTATATTACATTTTGTTTCATGCTTTATTTTTGTTAGTTATGTATTTTACAGAATTACATTTGTTTTTATGAGTTTTCAACGCATTAAATATGCGTGTGCTACCGATGGTTCACGTAGCCTGAAAATTTAGTTTAAGGTATACCCTTTAGTAAGCATGATATCGGGCATGTTAAATGTACGGAGTGCGTGCTCTAAGACCATAATTGTCATCGCTACCATCCTACCTGCCGCGAAGAAATCCTGTGTTTTGGGAGCATTTATTCCTGTACAACCTAGAATTCAACTTAATGTCTGTCACCGCCCAAGAAAATAGATATTTCGATCTCATGCTGTGGCGTCGACGTTATAGTGTCTATGTTCGCCGATAATGCTAGTGCACTCGGGTGCATATCAGTGCTAATAATCAAAATCTATTTTACTTAATATAAATATGTGGAGATTTTATCTACCTCCCAAAGGAGGATAAAATCGAGGATCCTCAACCTCCCACAGGATAAAATCTCCAAATAGGCCAAAGCCTATAATGTTTTTTAAGAGATTGTGACCTTACAGTTCATAGTAAATGTTAATTTTGTAGATTAAAAAGTAAGCTTATTAGTACATACTTAGTTAATATTTCATTCTCTCCATAACGGTTTTGTTCAAAGATTATAAATATTTACTTACCGTCATTATCAAAAAAATGTGTTATTTCTTTTTTCAAAACAGATATATCCGGAAATATTTTTCTTATTGTTGGATTATCCAGAACATCATGTTCCTCGATATCAATGCTATCGACAAAATCTTCAGCCATTTTTACCTACGAGCAATAAACATAGGCTTTTATAATATTTGATTTTAGTACAGCAGTTGGGGAACTTTTTTAATTATTACCCCAAAATATTTTTGTGTAAGTTGATATTATACCCCATGGCGAAAATAAAAAAAAAAACGAAATCGTTTCTTTTAGCATCTTTCATATTATAGACCCCATGATCATTTGCAAAAGAAAACAATGACTAAAAATTTAATTTAAACATTATTTATTCAATTTGTCAATGTAATACCTAGTAATACATAACGGTAATAATAGTAATATATGTAATATACAGTTGAGGGAAAAAAATCGCCCACCGAAAATATAAGTACCTATTCATCATTCATCATTTCATTTCGTTTCATCGAGTTTGAAATTACAACGATTCTAAAGAAGTTTCACTTCAATATATACTTTTTACTCACAAAAGTTTCATTTTTACCCCCCAAAATTTCATTTTACTCCATTTGGGGTCATTTACCCCAATTCCCCGACCGCTGTTTTAGTATAACCTTTTATTTGATTTTAATTACCATTGCGAGTACCATGCTCTGGATACGGATAACTAATTAAAAGAAAAAAACTAGTTAAAAGTATAATACTTTTGCAGAGATCTAGTTTCCAGAGATTGTTTTTGCCACATACCATTCGGCTTCAGATAAAGAGCTTCGTTTCACGATGTTTCCTAAACACTGTGACATGACTTTCTTCAAACAAAATTTGCAGAGAGTACGCAACGGTAGTCTACGGCTTAGCTGTGATATTGCTTTCAACCATGAGTGATGAGTTATCATGAAGAATTATCCCTCTGGAAGTCGTGCTTTTTGATCATTCGCCAACGCTGCAGAAGGTAACTTTTGCTGGTCTAGTATTTCACCACTGTTTAATCACAATGTCATGTTTGTACAATGTATATAACTGTTTGTTTGTTGGAAATGAATTGGCACTTTGCTTTTCTATCGAATTTAAAAAATGTAATGCACCATCAGATTCTTCTGCTCTCGGAAACTGTATCAAAGAACCGGTATTAAACAAAACGGCCATTAATACCCCAGAACCTACAGAACAAGTAAAAAAGTCTTCCAAATAACTTTCATTGATCCGGTATATGATAAAAAAATCAAGAAACTTGATAAGTCCTTGGAGAAAAGGTTGACTCTTCATGTCTGCACCTAAGTTCTCGCCGTTTTCTAGATGAAAATGCAATTTTATAAGAAGCTTACAAATGAACCATTGCGCAATTATTGCTCGTTGCTGTCCATAGATTTTCCTCATATTTTTGGCAAAATTTGGCAGAATTACCTTGATGGTGGAAGTATTCGTTTTTCAAAGCAATTCACGAATTAAGCCATTAGTATATATAAGTAGATTTGCTGATCAACCAGACCATGTTTCATCCAACGAAACAAATAATAATCGGATGGTGCAATATTTGGGGAATATGGCGTATGGGTAGGATGTTCCACTTAAACGGTTTGAGATAAGTTTAAACTGATTTGGCAATTTGGCAACGTCAGACGGAGCGTTGTCATGCGAGACAATCACTTTATCGTGTCTGCCCCAAATACACGGCACAACCGACGCAGTTTGAATATTCAGCCAAACCGACAATGAAGACGTATGACCCGAAAGTCCCTAAGATTATTTTTTCTATTGAATCGATTTTCCATCACTCGTCACGATACGACGAAGAAAAACTTTTTATTTTGTACCGATGGAGGAGTTATTCACAGGCGAAAAAACGACTCTCAACGGCTTCAACTCAAAAGGAATCAAAGTCCCTTGCACTTTAATCATTCCCAACGCATGCAATTGTTTGGAGATTGCCTGGCTAGTAACTTATAATGCCTCCAATTCAGCGTCTTGGGCTTTCCTTTACGTAGACGGTCGTGAAATAGAAACCAACGTCTTTGAAGTGACGGAACCAATAATTATGGCCCGTAGTTTCGTTCAGAGCACTTTCATCGTAAACTTTTTGGGAGGTCTCGATGCGCTTCAGTCGCCGTTTTCTTCGAGTGAAAGAAAAAAAGTAGCACTTCCCGCAAATGACACTTAGTTGGTCCAAAATTATACAATTTCACAGAACCAAAAATATATCACACAGCAAAAAATCACTAATGTGTCACGGTTTGTTTTCCATGTCTAAAATTGATTCAAAACGTTTTAACTGCACTTATTGTAGCACTCATCCATTGACAAACAGCGAGAACTTAATTGCGCACCTAATACTATAACTAGAATTCACTGTAAGTATAGTCTTACAAGAAACAGCTCACATCGATCACAATCTTACGTTCTTACGGTTTAAGCTGGATAAACACATTTCAAATTTAAATCGTATTACGCCGTATTTATAAATAAATTGCCAATACGCACATTTGCACATTATTGCAGAATATACAAATAATATAAAAACTGGACTAGAAAAAATAATTCTATTTGTAGGACAATGGAATCATAGATCCTATTACCAAAAAGCAGCTATGAAAAATCCCCTTAACCGAAAAGTATTATCCCGAGCGCAAGATAGCGATGGAATCCCAAAAATAGTCAAATAATCACGTTAGCACTGCGCTAATTATAAAAAATGGCAAGGTATATGAATTACTAATAATGAGAATAACGAATAAATTGAATTATGAAATTCAAACAGGCATCACCGAAAAAATAGCATAAAAAAATCAAAGCAAATACAGCGAGAATGCATTTTTTTGGTTATTAAAAAGCCATTGGTTACATTACAAATCCTACATCCAATACTTGAGTTTGGAAAGGAATAACTTATCGTCATTCAAGAAAAATTCATTTTGTTGTGCGTGTCTTCCTCTATATACTGAAGGCATTTTGAAGAGTATATCATAATAGCAAAGATGTTGCTCTCTTGGCTATCCAGTACTACAGAAGCTTCCAAATCAGTTACTGCTCTTCAAATAGAACTTCCGTTTCGCCTATGTCACGCTTTATCTATGTCTACAACTTTCCAGAACGTTCTCAATAGAACTAGAACATTCGACACAACTGAAACACTCGAATGTTCTAGAACATTAGAGAAAGGTCTTAGTTTTTTCTATATCTGCTATCTGGCGACAGATAGCGTTACTCGTACCGGAATAAACAGTATTGTCATTGAACTCTGGGTCTATCCTCAGAGTTTAATTGCTATAGTGACAGAAGCTCCAAAGAGCAATTTTGAAAATCACTTCAACGCTCTTGACATACATCAGAAACAATGAAGTTTATCAAACTATATAGCAAAGTCTTGTACCAATAACTCAAAGAAATATGTTGTATTTAAAAACCAGGCCAACTTACATAGATGACATCATACTATTCTGTTTACTATCCGAACTTTAAAATGTGGGAATTTAGTAGGCATCACATTTCAAAATTTTGGTTATTTGGAATATGCTAAAACCCACCAGAACTTATTTGTTCCAAGGTTTTATAAGTATTTCAATTTTATGTAGGAGATTCATAAAAAATACAATGTTAATGACTAGTGATTTTATAGGATTCCAATTATTCACTAGATGTATAAATAATAAATACTAAGAGGCACATACATACTTTAGCAGAATAACTGTCTACAAAAACTTACAACTGCTAGCTCAAGCAGCATGCAATATTTGAACTAGTTCAATTGATCCCATCTTTTTTTTATTCTAATCTGTGAAATTATTTAAAAAGCACTCCAGAAAATGACTCTGTGCCATTTATATTTTTATGTAGCCATACTTGCTACTTTTTCAAAGTTACAAAGGTTTAGAAAACATTTAGCTACTTTGGTGTAGTATTTCAATTCTACAATTCTAGTCAGTCCTGCTATTTAAGGAAAGTTTTAAAATGCTTTTTCTCCTCATTTCAATTATTCTGACTCTAGCTTCCAGACCATATGCACCAATGTTGGTAGTACCAGCTTTCCATACTTTTTCCACCAGTTCAGACTGTTCTAGTAATTGTAAAACTTCTTCAAACTTTAAAACTTCTCTTTCACTAGTTGGGAAATGCCAGTCTCAAGTCAATCATGCAATTCCAGTATAATCTTCTGCCTTATGTAGTCATCCGTATAATCTTCTGCCTGTTGCATATCACAGGCATCCTCGAACAAGCTAATTGCATTTTTTATAGTTTGGTTTTACCACACACACAACTAAGATTTTAATTGAAATGTAATGTATTCTCTTTATTTTAAATTTACTTTTATACCTTTAAATTTAAACTTATTGCTAATAATGGACAGTTAGTATGCTATATTGTGTAAGCCTTTTAAGTTTTATTGATATTATTTGTTCACAAGTAACCAAATAATTCATTTAAAGTACCAGTTAATTCCATTTGACTCCATACAGAGAAGGGCCACTCTGATTGTTGATAACCCTGATTTAGCAGATTGCTTGGAACGTCTGGGCTTACAGAGAGACATTTTTCTCACTGTATTTTGTACCATAAGTTCCAAGGGGAGAAATTATTTGAGATGATCCCTCCACATCCTTTTTACCATCACACCTCCATTCACCAGAGCAAAGTTCATCCATACTACCTGGAGCCACTGCTTTCATCTACAGTGCATTTCCAGAGATCTTTTTTCCAAGAACAATCCGGCTCTGGAATTAACTCCCCTTCACAGAGCACTTCCTGAGCGCTACAACATGCCCTTCTTCAAACAAAGCCTGCAGAGAGCTGTGCCCCTGGCATTACTGACGTCCGTGAACGAAGGTAACCACTTACCACCAGGTGGGCCATCTGCTCGTCTGCCTACAAAAAAGGACTAAATTTTGGGAAAATCTTGGTGTTTCACTATTAGGAATATAACGATATAATAATAATAAATCTGCTGAACAGTAGATAAATAGTGATTTGTTTTGTATTTCAACCATACATACAGCTAGTATGCGGAACTATATTAGTTTGTTATAACATTCCCGTCTAATTGAATTGAGGTGCACATAACTACACGTTAACGAGAATTGGTTAGTTAGTTAACTACCATAAATGAGGGTTGTAGTATAATTTTTACCTACCTTACATGAGGTACGTAGTATAATTTTCAGTACCTTCGTTACACAAGGAAGTCAAATGGAAATGTACAAAAATAAATTATTAACAATTTAAGACTTTATTTTTGAGTCCATAAATTCCATTTATGTTGAATCAGTCAGGTTCGCGTTTATATTCTCTTTGATTTTCACTAGCATACCGCACACTCAGCTTAACTTTCAAGTTGTCAATTAGATTTTGTAGTTTATCGGCTTTTTCAATTGGAAAGGCGAAGGTGTCGTACCATTCAACCTAATCTTTTGTATAATATTCTGCTTTATGAAAAATGATTTGAAGAGAAATGTTGTCTCATTAATTATTTAATTACTCATTATTTATTTACTCTAACGCTTTCAGTAGACTTTTTGAAAAATCCCGGGAACCTACGTTTATCGGCTTTGTTCCATTTTCTCACATTAGTGCACTTCCACAGATATTAAATAGCTAATAAACCACTTTCATTATACATTAAAGCCTGAAGATAGACGAAATTAACAAAAAAAAACAATACTCACGACTTTGCTCCTCGCGTCCCCGCCAATAATCTATCAATTTGTAGTTTTTGCTTGCTTAAACATTACAGACCGAGAGTTCATTGGACTTTTTGAAAGAGCCCGAGAAGTGGCGAGAAGGTCCGGTGGCACTGAAACATTTTCTCATTTTCACTTGTGCAGTTTCATAGGTGCTAAACGGTTAATAAGGGTTATTACACGTACCTACACGTATATCACCTACAGTATCTAAATTTACTTAATTACATAAGTAGACGATCCAGACGACTGGACCGTACAAACAGTCTTTTTTGTTTGTTTTTTCCTACCTAAGCTGATAGCCTTGAGAGGTTATGTCAGCGTAACCGGGCAAGTAAAGTAGGTGAGCTCACGGGGCTCAAACCTGACGTTGTTGCTAACACGAACCCTAGCAAGGTCCGTGCTTCGCAGAATCTAGAATCGTCGTGGCCTAAAGGATATGACGTCCGGTGCATTCGTGTTGAGCGATGCACCGGTGTTCGAATCTCAGGCGGGTACCAATTTTTCTAATGAAATACGTACTCAAGAAATGTTCACGATTGACTTCCACGATGAAAAAATAACATCGTGTAATAAAAATCAAACCCGCAAAATTATAATTTGTGTAATTACTGGTTTTAGGACCTCTTGTGAGTACGCACGGGTAGGTACCACCACCCTGCCGTGCCTATTTCTGCCGTGAAGCAATAATGCGTTTCGATTTAAAGGGTGGGGCAGCCGTTGTAGCTATATTTGAGACCTTAGAACTTATATCTCAAGGTGGGTGGTGAATTTACGTTGTAGATGTCTATGGGCTCCAGTAACCACTTAACACCAGGTGGGCTGTGAGCTCGTCCAACCATCAAAACACCATCTCAGTGTGTTAAAAAGTGTTCACTGAAATGGGGTCAATTAAGGTGACACCATAGTAGCAGCTGGGAAAATATTAAAAACAGGGCCATACCACACACACTTCATATCAATCCAGCACACATCACTCTGTTTAAAACTTCTATATTCATAATATCATTCTCACTTTCCAAACTAGCCTAATTTCAGTGAGCCTTCCAACTGCTTTGCTGCTTGCAGATGAACACTTTTTCAAATGGTCCTCTAAGCACGATGGTGCTCCTTACCTCCACCACCCATATTTTTTTTACACTGTTGCGTATGAAATCAATGTAGGTACCTATCCATAAAATCGTTGATGTGCACAATTTCATAGACTATACAGATTTAAAGTTACAGCACCCATTACCCCCAAAATTGTATAATCTATGCCTCCCCCTTCACACCTCACCTCACAGCTGATCAAATGTCAAGAAAATGGAGTTTTGTTACGCATTTTTAATACACCGTAAAAAAATGGCAATATGAGATCAATAAAAACTATTTTTTATAGCTCATTGGGCTAGAATGGAAAGTACCGGTCCATTTCAGCCTTGGGCAAATGACGAAAACTCGAAAGACGTGAAAAGTGAGGCAGAATTAGCGGATGACGCGAAACTTCATCGGGAAGATGTCAATCATCCAAAACATAGGCAAACTGCGTCTTACAATAAAGAAAGTGTCAGTGATTCAACTAACGCTCCAGGATCCTCGAGTGACACTGGCCCCGGTGGTGCTACCGAGGGTACAGAACCCGAGATGGACTCGAACAAAATAACTTCTATGCAACAAATAGTTGAGAACACTCTCAGGTAATGCTGATAGATAAACACCTGCTGGTTTTTTTAATGTCAACAATACACTTAAATTCACCTATTCCAGTGTTAATTTTCATTTCTAAAAACTATATCAAAACACCTGTTTTTGTCCCAAATGTCTAGGGACAGCTGTTTAGTAAAGATTGTGAATAGGAAACAGTCATGATGATCACAGTACATGTAAAATGAATATTTTTTTCTATTAAAAGTACACATAAAAATGCACATTAAATTTCGGGTTAAAGATATTCGTTATTCTCAAAAGAATTACATAAATTCACTTAAATGAGAATATAGTTATAATTAATTCAGTTCGTGCAGTACATAAAAATATTTTATAGTAACAACATGCGGTGCTATGACAATATATTTAACAAAAACTATAAAGATTATTATTTTCTTAAAATGTATAAACAGGGTAGATTACCACAGCAGATCGCCTCGACCAGCCGCCGGCCGCTCGGTTTTAGTTAAATAAAGTTTAAAAATTTAGTTAAAAATTTAGTTAAATAAAATTATCAATATGTTGCAGTTAACTAATGAAATAAACAAACTTACTTTTACTATTAGTATCACTATGGGCTATCAAATAAATCAGTTTTATTTAAAGCTTTTAACATCTGAAACTTAAATTTAAGAAAGCTTTGAATTTTATATTAAATAGGAAAACTGGGTTTGTGGCAGATAGTAAAGTTAAAATTACCGAAGTTAGCTTAGATATTGGATTAGAAACAAGTTATTGAATAAACAATATTCAATTTTCAATAAATAATTTTCAATATTCAATAAATAATACACAATGCTAAAAAAATCTATCAACAAACAATCACTAATGATACTTTTCCGTAATTAGCAAAGTATTTTCTTTGCATTGCAATTTTTTTATTTATGGCAGACCTGAAACTTTGGTCCTGTTTTCAACAAAAACTTATTTAATCAAAGCGCAAAATTGTTCATCAAGCACTGAAATTTGTACTCGAATTCTGTTTGAAGTTCATCATCATGGTGAAAAGGGACTCTTTAACTTTATGTCTCAAGGTGGGTAATCAAATTCAGATTCTGCTATTATACATCAGGTGGACAGTGAGCTTAGAGCAGTCAATAAATAATCAAATTCAAGGACCAAAACTTTAATCCTAAAAAAATAAATTCATTCAAAAATTATTCTGAACTGATTGCAACCAAAAATGTTTCATTTAAAATGCAATATAAGTTACTTAGTCAATAGGTCAAAATCTCATTAATCATGCTATTTAATTTATTCCACAATCACTTTATGACTAGATTTGATATTTGTCAGACATTTGGTTGCCTGGTTTTGGCAATGTCTAAAATAATACCTTTTTATCAAAGGAACAAGCAGCATGAAACTTAAATGGGATGAAAGTCTTTTCTTTCTTATGTATGTGGCAAGGCTTGATGAAATATGATATTTAATATATAATAAATGTATTATTTTTTTAGTCAAGAGGGCCGACAAAGAGTAACTCACTTAATAGAAGCTGTTGAAGCCCTCAGCGGAGCAGAAAAGCTGTTGCTTTATCTGCGGCTACCAACAGGAGTACCACCTCATGATCCTTTAAAACAACCAATCAATCCATTAGGATCAAGGTATTTTGAAATTTTAAGTGTTCTATTATTGTGGAAAAAATATTAAGAAATAGGTGATAATTTGTTATTGTGTTATAATTGTTGTATGTGTAGCCTATGAAATATTGAATGATAAAGTAGTGTAAAAGTTTTATTAATTTAATATTATTAATATGTCAGTTTTATATAAAACGATTAATTGAATAACATATTTGTAGAGCTGAACTGAAACAGACTGTTACATGGATACAAACACACTTGGAAGTTGACCCTGATGTCTCATTACCCAAACAGGATGTTTATGATGAATACATGTAAGTATAAAAGTTAAAGTTTAGAATAAATTGCCTATTCTGAAAATCTCCACTGCATGTTAATCTGTTAGCCTTAAAGTGCCTTAAATTTCTTCTCTCTAGTTCTCTGTACAAACATCATCCATTTCATCTCTGTTTCATTATCCATGCTCCATTTTCTGTGTCATTACGATAGTAAATGTGTATGTTATAAAAAGCATTTAGTTGTAATTACCATTACCAGACGATATCTTATATAATTTCTATTATTACTATACAAGTGAAACATATACCCAAATCTCAAGGTCAATAGCAGTATTCATGTTCATTTCTGTAAAAAACTTACACCAAGTGGGTCATGAGCGTATTTTCCCTGCTAGACAAATATAAGAAGCCATAGACTGCATTTATCAGTATAATATATATAAGTTTGTAATGAAATACACTGCATGATAAAATCAAGCAATTAGGTAATAGATAATATAATATAAGGAACTCGGTCGTTGTATTCTGCAAATTATGTAGTGGTTTGATATTGGGGTTTGATACTGATTTTTGTTCATAATTATTAACATGTTTTCATTGTTGCTCCGCTTCTGCAATGAATGAAACAACACTTGTTATAAAATTCATTACACTTTTTTTTTACCGGGTGCTAATGTCCGGTAATGATAAGGTCGGGCAGTCGTTGTACTATAAAACTGAGATTTAGAACTCATGTCTCAAGCAGAGCGACGGCATTTATTTTATTGATGTCTGTGAGCTCCGCTAGCAAATAACACCAAGTGGGCCATATGCTCATCGATCCATATAAGCAATACAAAAATACATACACACAGAAAAAAAGTAAGTGAATGAAAGCAGCCGCAGGAATAGACTACCTGTGCTAACACTAACTCATTCTGGCAATCGTTATTAGACTGGTGGTAGGACCTCTTGTGAGTCCGCACGGGTAGGTACCACCGCCCTGCCTATTTCTGCCGTGAAGCACTAATAGGCCTACTTAACCTTGCCAGCCAATGCCACGGCACGAAACTTCTTCGGGATCGGTGATGATGGCCGTTTCCATTGCAAAGATTGCTGTTTTGTCTCGGGATCAAAATGATGGACCCATGTTTTGTCCATTGTTACGAAACGAGACAAAAAGTTTTCAGAATCTTCTTGAAACTTTTTTATTTATTGCTTAGATGGATGGACGAGCTCACAGCCCACCTGATGTTAAGTGGTTACTGGAGCCCATAGACATCTACAACGTAAATGCGCCACCCACCTAAATCCAGCAATGTCTTCGAAATGTCAAGTCGATTTTGTTTCTGACTATCGGTTAACATTCTCGGCACCCATCTTGCGGAGACTTTTCTCATACTCAAAGATTGTTTCAATACGCATTGAATACTTCCATATGGAATGCCCGTTTCTTAAATTAAGTATCGGATGGTAACTGTTCGATCGCCCAATACAATTTTCTCGACTTTCGCAACATTTTCTTGGGTGACTGATGTTCGTTTTCCGTGCTCGTTCTCCGTACTCGAAATTGAGAAGCCCACCTTGCGACAGTGGAATACGGCGGAGCAGACTCTCCTAATGTTACCTCCAAATCGCAATAAATCTCTTGCGTCGTTAACTTTTTTAAACAGAGGTATTTAATAACGTTTGCCTTACGTTTTTCTCCATCACTGGTTTATATATTATTTTAATATTATTTTTTACTGGTGGTAGGACCTCTTATGAGCTCGCGCGGGTAGGTACCACCACCCTGCCTATTTCTGCCGTGAAGCACTAATGCGTTTCGGTTTGAAGGGTGGGGCAGCCGTTGTAACTATACTTGAGACCTTAGAACTTATATCTCAAGGTGGGTGGCGCATTTACGTTGTAGATGTCTATGGGCTCCAGTAACCACTTAACACCAGGTGGGCTGTGAGCTCGTCCACCCAACTAAGCAATAAAAAAAAATCAAACAAATGACTACATCCAAAAAAAAACAAAAGAGAATCGAAGTTTTTTTTTCTTTATTAATATTACAAATATGTATCTGAGCTATGCCTGCCAGTATTTTTTTTTTCTTACCAAGGCGTATGTCGTTCTCACTTCTTTTTGATCCCTCCTAGTAATAGTTTATACAGTATTCAAAGCAATTAATAAATTCACTTATTTTATACAATATTTTAGTATTGACGAAAGCTGATTTGCTTCTTTTTTCAAGCAGTTTCTGTAAAATGTTCTTATTTTTCGTTCCCAGAGCTCATTGTATGAGTAGTAACATGAAGCCTCTGTCGACTGCAGACTTCGGTAAAGTCATGAAACAGGTGTACCCGAGCGTACGGCCCAGAAGGCTTGGGACTCGTGGCAATTCTAGGTAATATAAATATTGTAAACTATCTCAAATTGAATCATCTCATTTAATTTAACAGACCATTTAATAACATTATAAATTAATTCCCAAGTAACTACTTGTCTTTTGATCTTTTATCAACTAAATAAGTCGAGTAAAACTTAATTCGTTGCCTAAATCGATTGGAAAAGAGATAAATTATGAACCGGTCATACAACAAACGGACACCGCCAAAGTCTTTATCGACTACAAATATTTAATGAACTAATTATAATTAATATAGTTAAAATAATATTTAAAAATATCATTCACATAGAGCAATCAAAGACCTGAATCTAGAGTAAATGGAAAAGAAAGACATAATATGTATCTATTTGTAAATCTTTATCACCTGCTAAGAGTACAACACTGATTAAGATTATTCAAATAAAACAAATGCTTATAACCTAGCCTGACCCGAACGTAACCTGAAATTCGTCATTGTTGATAATGATAAGCTGAATGAAATTGAAAAAGTTGAATGAAAGTACTGCAATTATTCACATTTAGTGGGTAATGAAAACTAACACTTAATATATTTTTTGAGTTGTGTAGCCATTTTTCAATATCATAAGGCACGCGTAATGTAGATATTTGATATTATATATTGATACATCAATGATACGTAGATTATAACAACTAAAGATAAGCTAGAAGAAAAAAAAAACTAATTAAAATTGATTTAATGACCTTTACGTACATTTCTACCATATAAAATATTTTATCATCGCCATGATGCACGTCATTACGGATCCTCCTGATCCATTAACGGTGCTTTTAGGCACCACAAGCACCGGTCACCGTCCTCGTCGAACCCGTCGCTTGCAACGAAGGGCTCGACGAGCGAACTAACCCATAGACACAGCCCACTGAGTTTCTCGCCGGATCTTCTCAGTGGGTCGCGTTTCCGATCCGGTGGTAGATTCTGCGAAGCGCTGCTCTTGCTAGGGTCAGTGTTAGCAACTCTCCGGTTGAGCCCCGCGAGCTCACCTACTAACGTTAGGGTGAAGCTGAAATAGCCTCTCAAGGCTATCAGCATAGGTAGGAAAAAAAAAAAAAAAACGCCATGATACTTTAAATTTAGTTTTCATTTTCAGCGTAGCAATGTTTTACCTTTGTCAGTTATTAAATAAATTTTTATATAATAAATATTACGAAATTGACTAGATTAGATTGGTTCAGGTATCAATCAGTCTTTCTGATAAATTATGACCGTGAATGAACGAAAAATAATTGCTTTCCTGTCACATTATTGTGGATGTGATATTTTCTGTTTTTCGAATAAGTGTTACAATTTTCATAAAAGAATTCGCCATTTATTAGATGGCTTAAATCAATACGTCCGAGGACTACGCGCGATAAGATTACTCACACGGCTCTAATTACATTGGACATATTTATCGAGACACACCCATGTACTATGTCAAAAAAAAAACCATTAACTTGCCTTGACTAGTTTTAATTGGCACATTTTCCGTGGTCGTGAATTATCATTGAAGAATAATGTTTTAAGTGGCATAGCGTTATCAGTGACGTCTGCGTAATGTACTGTGATAGTGATACGCATAGTACGATATTAAATCGTTCCGGGTCATAACGATAATGTGATATTGTTACTTATGAATAGTATTGGAGCGCTACTAACATCAGAAACATATGTATAGATTAAATTTATAAACTAATTAAGGTCGATAAATAATAGTTTGAATTAAAAAAAATGGATCCATCGTAACTTCACATATTTCTTTAACTAGTTACACGACGCTATGGTCTTCCTTGTGCTAAGCGGCTACGAGCCCGTAGACACCAAAAGGCAAGTTCCCATAAAAGTTGTACCCTCAATTGCATCGATACCTCAATCGGAAAGATTTTTAAATTAAAAGAGACACAATCTCAAGCATTGTAAAGAAAAATTAAATTATATTTTTTCCCCAAATAAGACAGTACAGAATAAACATTAAAATAGATATACAACACATAGGTATACAGATTGCAAAAATTCAGAAGCCCTTGCTTAGGTACTTGACATAACGCAAATAATATGTGGCTTTACACAGATACATATATTTACTTTACTTATATAAACATAAAATAGCATAAAGTTTAAATAATGTTTAAAAAAATACAGTAATCTTAGAGGGAGACTTTTAAAACACACACATAAAAAGCGATTCTTACAAAAACTAGGTCCAGGCTGTTGCTTCAAATGCAGATATTCGTTTGTCAGTCTGACCTTAAATACCAACTCTATTTTAGTGACTTGATTTTCATGAACACATAATTTAAAACAAAAGTTGACGGTCGCGCACTGCAATCTGTCTCTTAACTTGATTGTTTTTTTATTAAATTGTACGCTACAAAAACACTAAATTGATTTTATTTGTACTATTGCTAAAAACGAAGACAGACACTAATTTTGTCCTTTATAATAGTTGTTTTACGATTTTATTATACTGTAGTATCAGTTTTCAATAGAACCTCAAGAATCTTTTTGTTCATTATTCTAAAACCACCCGGTATGTAAATATTATATTATTTAACCATTACACGGTACACAGGAAAATTGCATAATAAAAGGTCGGTGAACTCATAATGTCTTAATATACTTAGATTTTATTTATTAATTCAATTCTATAGGTAAACTTGCAAAGCATACGATGGTTTAGAATTAATAATGGAGGTTATTTTTCTTTTCAGATATTGCTATGCGGGTCTTCGAAAAAGGATTAAATTGGAAGTTCCACAATTACCCGATTTAGGTGAATCGTCGAAGGCAAGTTACATACTTGACGCTTTTTTTTTTATTACAATTGAAACCTCGAACCCGTGTCTGGTGGTGGATATCCTTTTTTTTTTATTGCTTGTGTAGGCAGACGAGCCTACGGCCCACCTGATGGTGGTGAGTGGTTACCGTCGCCCATGGACTTCAGCAATGCCAGCGGCAGAGCCAAGCCGCTGCCTATGGTGGATATCATGGTGGTTGTCTATGGACTCCAGGTACCTCCAGATGAGCACTCAACCCCTTCACTAATCTACGTAATAAAAATCGAATATTTTAAATAAATAAAAAATATGTTAAATCTTCCAGGAACCAATTGTGACTTCACGAGAAAATGAAAGGATAGTTTGCGACTGGGCAGAAACAAAATTAGGTAATATAAAATTCATTGCAATAAAAATTAATGTTATTAAAACCTTTTTTTGACTAAACAACCTCTATGCATTCAATCGCATTTATTACATAGAGGGCTGAAAGGTTATTTGGTTTAAGCGACACTTACCTTTGTAATCAAAGGTCTGTTTTATTTATTGGTACTAGTGGTCCCGCGGTAGTCGAAATGCGACTAATATGTTGAAATTATAAGTTTTGAACATTATTATGGTTCTATTGTGAAAGACTATTATTTTACCTACTACTACTACATTATAGACAAACAATATTAATCTATTCTCAATTTGACCACAGAATTTAAACAATAACAAAAGTTTGACAATAAACGAAGAGTATATATTATTATGCGCGTGTGTGTGTGTGTGTGTGTGTGTGGCAAATACATAATAGTTTGTGTCATGTTTCTTTTATTGATTTAATGTATTATTGAGGCATAATCTAAAAAAAAATTAGCATTCTGCAATCCCTTTCTATATTCTCTATAAGTGTGGGAAAGTTAATACTCATCCGTCCTTGCAATTTTCGTAAAAAGGGGTACAAAGTTTTTGTTTCACGTATTAATATATAGATTAGCATCAACAGTTCGATTTTTTAAATTGAAATTCAATTAAGTTTAGCTGAAGTTTTTCGTTACAATATTTTTCTTAAATTTCAAACTTTAGATGGCTCTCATGGAAAAGCTGCAAAAATATCGCTAAAACCAAATAACCTTTTACTCCTCGATATTATTCTGTAAAAATTCTGCAAAAAATCTTTAAAATTACTTAATTTATTTTGTGTCCAATAATATGTTTTTTACTCCTCAGGTGTGAAGTTCGCAAATATTTTAGAATTGTCACAACATTTATTATCACCGGCTCCAAACCTGACCACTCCCGGGCCGCTGTCTACGTCACCACAACCAGCTGTCCCGCAGCCTCATGGTAATATTAAACTCTATTCACCCTCAGTCTCCAGTTTTCATTTTCATAACCTGATAATGTCTTCTCACTTTTTCGGAAGAGTACTCGCCAAGAAAATAAGTCAATGCTTTAAATACCTTTTTTTATTGCTTAGATGGGTGGACGAGCTCACAGCCCACCTGGTGTTAAGTGGTTACTGGAGAACATCGATATCTACAACGTAAATGCGCCACCCACCTTGAGATATAAGTTCTAAGATCTCAGTATAGTTACAACGGCTGCCCCACCCTTCAAACCGAAACGCATTACTGCTTCACGGCAGAAATAGGCAGGGCGGCGATACCTACCTGTGCGGACTCACAAGAAGTTCTACCATCAGTAAGTTTTCATTTATTTTTTCAATTTTAATTTTCAGGATCAGCTACCGCTGATGACGCAACGAGTCGACAATTAATAAAACATTTAAAACGGAAAATGCAGGTACGTTATCTTAGAATAAACAATATAGATGTACTCTGTGCTTGAATGAATTTTCGATTAACTTCTAGTTGAACATTAAATGATTAAAACAAAATATCTATGTTTAGTTTATCTCGAAAACTTAATTTTTGTATTAATGTTCTGGCGTTAGAGTCGTCACTGTTTTTTTTTTATTTTGTTTTTTTTTTTTACTTATGCACGAGGGTAGTTTATCATATTGGGTTAATGTTTTGTACAGTTGTAGGTTTCTCGCATAGTACCATCGGTGTGTGGTAGGTTGCGTTCGATTCCGATCCGCTGTCCGATTCCGATATGTCGCTGGGGCGGTTTTTTTAAAATCCTCCATTCCTGGATGGGCCCGTGAAGCAATAATGAAGCTGGAAAGGCATAGGCCACCAGCAATCCCTCCATCCTAAAAAGGGTAGGTTGCGTCCGAGCAAATTGAATAAACGGCGACTGTAGGTGAATCGTCGAATAGAAATGGTAATGAATGTACCAGAATCTATATATTAATACGTGAAGCAAAAACTTGGTATCCCTTTTTACGAAAATTGGGCGGACGGAGGAGTATGAAATTTCCCACACTTATAAAGAATATAAAGAAGAAGTGCACAATGCTAATATTTTTTTTTAAATAATGCATAACAGATACATTAAATCAATAAAGAAAACATTACACACACTACCATGTATTTGAGGCACAGACGCATGCATACTATGTATTTATTGTCAAACTTTTGTTTTTGAAGTTTGTGGTCAAATTGCGAATAGATTAAATATTGTTTGTCTTTATTAATATTTTTTTATAGGGTACTCTTGGCAAAATTTGTGATTATAGAAGTATAAAATACAATGATAATAGTGTACAAACTGATAATTCCAATTAATTATAGTCGAATTTCGACTACTGCGGGACCTCTAGTATAAAAAAAAAAATGCTCATTTGACAAGTGTAATTCTTCTGTACGTCTGTTTCGCACTAAACGCTTAAACACCTCGACCGGTTACTATATTTTTTACTTATGTACATATTTAAGTTCACGTTGAATCATTTGAACCTTATAGGTGGCACTTCGATCAGATTCCAGGGATTTTCTATACATTCGGGGCAGGACGTCTCACGGCACGATAATTATATTAGGTATTTCATCAACGCGCATTCTAAAGCGAAACCTAATTTTATTTAAATTACATTGCGCGTTCATTTGCAAAGTCATTTGTATTAAACACCTTGACACGTTGATCGCGATTTTAAAGTTTCTCATTCAAATATTTTTATTGGAGGCGAGACATTTATCCTATCAATCAAAGTTTTTCTAAAATTAATCCGTTTTCGGGAATAGTTCCCTGGTACTCTATCATTAGTCTGGTAATCATTAGTTAGCAATCAGGAAAATGACAATAAATTATAATTCATGTTTACAGGGTCATGGAACTCCCGGTAGACCCAAAAAGAACAAAGGTCAGGAATTGACTGGAGAGTCATCACCGGCGGCCTCTGGTACGTGCGTCGGACATCATCCGACGTTAAAGCATGAGACGGAGCAGGTACCCGAGACCAGTTACGCATACCAACCGGCATACGTGACGGTGTATGAGCCGCGGCCGCCATACTCCGCTTACGGGGCCCCGCCTCGCGCGCACCCGCTGCCCGCTCTCACTACCCACGAGTATCGCCCCGACCCCTACGCCTTCGAGCCCACGTATGCGCCTCACGACTTGACGCTCCCCATCAACCTCAGTAGCAACGCTTCCCTCGACCTCTCCACCGACCGCGCCGACTGGCACCGTCGCCGTCCACCTGAGCCGCCGCCCCCGCCGCGCCTCCCCCTCCCCGGTAAGAAATTCATCCTGGAGACCTACCAAATCGAAACGGCAGCGCGCGCGCCGCCGCTCCAGCCGGTGTCGGCGCCAACACCGGACGACTTTCCGCGCGCCGAATACTTGCCCAAGAAAATGAGAGCGGCCGAGATCCTCGGCGGGAAGCTGGCCGCGGCCCGACATGTCGTGGCTGTCTCGGAAGCCGGGTCCTCGTCGGCGCCGGTTGCCGAGCCTGCGCCGCTCCGTCCCGCGGGTGCTTTTTTAGAGGATCCAAAAAACTTAACGAGCCGGTCCAAAAGCACCGCCGCGGCGCTGGCCCGGGAGGAACAGGAGGCGGCGAGTCCAACGCGATCGACGAGAGCTCTGGCGTCCATCAAACCGCGCAAAATAAATAGCCGCATGAGATCGAACTCGCCCGATCGTGCGAGGTCACCCGAGAGACCCGCCACTCCCGACTCTTGTTGCGGCCTCGACGGTATCAATATTAGAACTGGCGTGATATGTGAAGAAAAACACTCTGAAATCTTGAACAGAGAACGCGTCATCAGTATCTGCAATATCGATAAACACGACCTGGACGATTATTTGAACGAAGGGAATAGTCAAGAACACGAAGAAGAGCTGCTTCAGTACTTCCACCAACAGCGTGCCGCTCAAGCCGAGGCGGCAGCGGAGCTCGACCAGTCTGAAAGAACCGTTATTTTTTTAGAGGCAAGCCAGGACCCGCAAGACGAACACAGTCAAGGAAAAAATGAAAAAATCTCTCAGTTACGCGAACTACTTGCGAAAAATTTGAAAAACCAAAGTGGGTCCAACTCTCAGAATGCAATAAATCAAAACGCTGACCACTCTCAAGCAAATACGAATCAGCAGCAGTCTGCTAAAGTCAGTGATTGCGGCGATGCATTCAAACCGTTAAATGTTGACGAGAGCGATATGAACGGGACGGCCACGACTAAAGCGGTCGAAGTGAATCCCCCGAAACAGTGCCATAGTGTGCCGCATCAAAACGGGTCAACGTTACCTTTTAACAACGATAAGACTTCTAATCAAATGATACCGAATGTCAGCGGTTCCCATCTCTACAATGGGCACTGTCAAAACGAACCTCAGAGCCCCACAACTAGAACTCAGCAATACGACTTTGTTCCGATATCTGAAGGGTGCCATTCGCCGGGACACTTCAGAGGCCAAAGTCCAACTAAAGTACAAAAACAAGTAATCGTTGGGGGTTCTCTTCAAACGTCACCGACATCACACAGCACTGCTGCCAGCCCTTTTGTGAGTCCAAGAAATACACCGGTCCCGAGGTCGAGACTATGCCCTCGGCCCATTCCTAAACACAACGGACGAAAGAGACGCAATCCTTTAACATTGGGTATAAATGACATGTGCTCGAAGCCATTTGCTATTCCAAACGATCAGAAATTTATAACAAAAAACACTACCTGTGATCCCGGTAAATATTGTCAGCCGATGTCTGCTCCGCCTTCGCCAAACATACTGTCGTCCCATTTCAAAAGTCAGTTATATCAATGTAATTCGAGCATTCAGAACGGTAACAATAATAATTTGTGTTTAAATTTCCTACCAAATAACGCTTTCAGAGAGCACATAAACGGAGACCCGCCGCTCTCGGCCGATCCTCTGTCCAGCGAAGTCAGTCAATTCTTTCAAGATTCAATGGTGACTTATAGACCGGGCCCAGACGCTTTTAGGTCCCAATCGGTGCCTTTAAAACACGGAATCAACAATATCGGTCTCCTCAGCTACAATAACACGCCCGTCGGCTCGGTGCCGCCTACGCCTGTCCCTAATGAGTTCTGCGACTTTGGTTCGCTGGCTGAAACCTGCGACATATCTAGAGCTGGCCTCAACAGGGAGACTTTAGACAAAATTTACAACGCGATAGACAGTAGCCACGATGTACTTAATCCAGACGGCACAGCGAATCTGCTAAATACGAATGACGGTTTGAGTAACGGCTGCGATTCTATGCCGGGATCGCAAATGTTACCCGATCAACTGACGTCACTTATCCCGGGCGGAGAAGAGCTACTCGACAGCGGAAACCAATTCAACCAATCGTACACGAACGATAGTTCGACAACGGAAAATACAAACAGTATTGACTTAGATTTATCGGAACTAGTTACGGACAAAAGTAAATATTATACGTCTCGCTCGGTACCGAGCACACCGTTGCCTTACAAACGTGCCGCTCCCGGCCTGCAGATAGACTCGCGCCGATCTAGGGATTTGTTTGCCGTAGAGAATTACACTATACCGACGAACGGAATATGCTCCAAGTCGGTGCCATCGACTCCTCAGTTTGCTGAAGACAGGAGTGTTTTTAGCTACAGCAATAGAGATTTCTTGATCAACGGAAACTCTGTTTGTGGGTCGACTCAAGTCCACGAAACTGTAGTCGAAAACGATCAAACGTTGGCTTCGCCGCTTCACGACATGCTACGAGAAGACATATTAGACCCGTTGACGCCCGCGCTGTTGGCCGATCTGGATAAGATTGATGCCGCCCCCTATGTCGATCTCTAGTCAGCAATAAACTCCTTTGTAAATATTTGTATATCATAATGTTCATTTTTCAATGGCACATTAAATATTGGACAACAAAGTGCAATATTGGTTAGATGCCTTCAGTGAAGGTTGACACATTATGTTCTTACTTCGCCAATCATGAAGTAATGCTTCAAAAAATATATATTAAAACAATGGTGACAAAACTCAATTATTTGATGTTTATGTTAAATATGTAATTAAATTACAGTAAAATCTGTATATTGAATTGAATGAATTTTAGATACGATACAAACTGGTGCTAAAACTGGACAATTCTGATCACATATTTCAATTTACTACCCGCAGGTCGGAGCTAACTTTATATTTAATATAATGGACCATTGTAACAATTGTTGCATAAGTTTGTACATATGTGTAATTATTACATTATAATTAATAGTATAAAATAATAAAATCGACTGAATTCAATCGACAAACGAACACATGAAAACAACGTTCTGCCTATCGTTACTTCTCGTCCGATACTTTCTACGGCTGCTGATAAAAATGACAACCTCTTTGGTGATTGTTCTCGAAAGATCCGAGGCTATAAATTAAAATGAAAAAAAATTGAAATTAAAATGTTGAAAACATTAACGGATCATTTTGTATAGATAGAATATAATGCCAAATCGGCCAACAATTTTTTTTTATACGCAATGTATATTTGGCGATTTATTCGTGTAACTGAAAATTCAGAAGCACAATTCACATGAAACGAATGGCTGTAGTTAGATTAACCAGACCAATGCAGTGTGCAAAGCGCGCTATTAGGTAATTAAATAAAACGGTTTTCATATGTAAAACTAAATTAAATATATAGTTTATGAAAATGAATTTATTGTAAGTTAGCACAAAGATTTTAATATATTTTATTATCGCATAGATGTTTTACTGACATATTAAATTTAAATAGATAAATAGCATGAAATGCGGAAACTTGTTCTGCCACTATGGCTGTGTGAAGCGTGAGGGCTTTTAAATTTTCGTTGCAGCAACGTGGGACATAGGTTTGTGAATATAATATAAAATTTTGGTGGGAATATAAAAAAAATGTTACAACAATATTCATAGCAACCAATTCGAATTCTAATGAAAATTTCTGCACGTGTCGCACTAACATAATACATAAACCAAACGTATATACGTTCAGTACAGGCGTGTATGTATTAGATAAAAAAATCTAGAATTGCATATTTTTGTTTTTAAAGCATTTTCAATGCAGAATCTTCAGTTTCCAAACTAGGTATTATATATGATTTGGCAAACAATACGATGATACCCCATATGATGACCCCCCATATATCGTACAATAGAACAGCTAAATGATTTGTTTAAAAAGTATATTGACATTATCAATATATTTTATTTATTATTTTATTTAAAAAAAAAACATGCAAAGAGAAACTTTTTATAAAAATGTATTTAAATCCAATTAAATTAAATTACATCATATTCAATTAAGTAACTAAGATGACTTCTAAATTATATTTTACAGTTAAATCACATTTAATTCGGAAGAATGAAATGTTAATTTTATATAGGCCCACATATCATTCGCTCCAAAAAAAAAAAAATAGTAAGACTTTCAATGTAATCCATTTGAGATTGTTTTTTTATAATGAAGCCTAAGCTAGATTACTTTTGAGGTATAGCATGTAGAGGTTTGTATAACGCTAGTACAAAGTAACTCACTGATACAACAGGGATTTACCTAAATATGTATAAGTGAAACCGAAGACTGTATTAAAATTTGTAGGTATTTCAACGCATACAATTGTTCTGTTCACACTTTGTTCTGAATTCAAAACGTCTACGCAACGAATAGGAAGGTACTTTCAGTGATAAAAAGTTTTGTTTGTATGGGTTTTGTATTCCAATTTGGTACAACTACCAAAATCTATTGGTACCTTATTAATTTTAAGTTGTACAGTGTATTTTGTTTTTAGACAAAAATAAATTAAGGTTAATATTGTAAATACTTTGATCATCATCTCATTCCTTGTTGTTTCATTAAAAATCGGATGGTGTGCGCGTAATCATCAGTCATGATGGTCACGTTAAATTGCCACAGTTTAAATAGATATAAAAGTCAAAGATATTGCGATGTACGCATTAATTAATAAGTGTTGTGAACACGATAAAATTTGGTGTTTTAGTCTATAAATGGATATTATCTGTGAATTATTATAAATTATGTTTTTAAAAAGAAAACAAATTTGAATCCGTTCGCTGCAATCTTCGACAACTGATTAGAGCTAAATAAAAACACATGATTTGAAAATAATATTTATTTTAACAAACTTCGATCAATAATACTACTAGATTAGGGATCAGGAACAAAAATAAGACGCTCGAGTGGCCACGTTTTCAGACCCGAAAACATCTTCATTTCTTAGAAAAAAGGTTAATAATGTTAACGACTTCAGTTTATTATAAACCTTAATGCTTAAACATAAAGTTTAATTACCATTGCAAAATATATTTATTTAGGTCCTTTCGTCAGAGAAAGAATATTGTGGCATAAATTTAAAATGTCACTTGAACATAAAAAGTCATCAGTACAAAAATATTTATTCTAAAGTGATACATAAAGACTAATCAATAAGGTTAAAAATATTTGTTTAAAATTTCGTGCTTATTGTATTGTGGAACTAGATGTAGTTCTTGGTATTACATTTCAATGCTCAGAACACAGTAAGTATTGAAAGACGTAGAGTTGCAGAATATATTTGTTTTAGGTTTGTTTTGTATGGTCGCAACTATTTTTGACCGATTCAAAAAAGTTGTAGATAATATTTTACATTGCCGCTATTACAACAAATAGGTAATAAATAATAAAATTGAATAAAGTAAAAAAAAAAAGAAAGGAAACAAGGGAACAACAACGTTTTCCACGTATTCTTTATACAGAAGTAATTAAAACAATTTTTTTTTTGTTTAATTACCTTTAAACAGATTCAGCTTGTTATAAAGCTGTTTTTTAGAAGTCATTTTTATATGAGCGGTTTCTTTTTTACAAATATAATGTAATCTTATATTAAAGAATTTTTCTATAATCAGTTTAATTTAGGCTTATTTTATGGCTGTGTTCGTTTCCCCCAGAAAACAAATCCTTTTCAGCATATACGCTTAAAATATTTACACATACATATAAAGTTTTTATAATACTTTTTTGCATTGATTTGCCACCACCATTGAACAATTCTAGAATTTTTATAAGGGTTCTATATTTCTTATCCTCCTTCTTTCGCGACAATATATATCCATTGTGCACAGTGAAAAGGGGCTACTAGGAAATCTACAAACAAAAATAACATTATAAAATAACAAAACTACTCTATGCATTCCCTGTTCAAGAATAGGTGATGTTTGTTACAATAGTTGGTGCCTTGTTGCAAACATTGGCCAAACAATTACAATATTCGTAAATTGAATTTTATTTACTATATAATTCTGTTTATTATTTTATGAAATTCACTTAATAATATAAACTTACCAAAAAAATATATTCCTTCCAAAACCTTGGTGTTACGGTGGTTTTTTACTCCGTTTTTGAACGCGCAGTGCAGCGGTTTGACGTCTTAGTGTTGGCTATGATTGGACCATACTAATTTGAAATAAGACCACAAATTTATTTGTGGTCTTATTTTTCGGGCCGTTTTTGAAGCGCTTATCGCGAATCTAGTAGTATTATTGATCGAAGTTAACAAATAATCTTTAGTAATTACATATATAGAAATTAACCATACGTAGACGTAAAGCAGGTGCCATCTATTTATGTTTAGTAAATAAATGAAAATCATCCTGATGTTAGAAAAGCCAATGCACACCCAATTAATCTACAAATTGCATATTTTATACTATTGATGGTCCCATTGTTAATAAAAATATCGGGCTTAAAATAATTCTAGTAGTGTAAATATACATGGTGTACGGAATCTGTAAGCAATAATCTGCTAGTTTAAAGAAAACAACCATATTAATTACTTTAGCAATACTCCTCGTTTTGGTCAAACGAAGAAGCAAAGTCACTTAAGTTTTTAACACACACGGCGACTGCCAAACACAGAACGAGGCTTTTTTTGTTTTTTAAAATTCGTATTCTCTTATGACTTAAAAAATATTGTTTTACAATTTTATTGCAATTGCTTTCTTTAGTTTACAATGTCAATATCTTTTTATTTAATATATTTAGTTACCTCCCGATTCCCGTACAGCTTGTATAATCCGTACCTTATTGAGATTACAGTTAATGGAAACATTGGCTCTGAAAACGTTCTCATCAAGTGTCGAATTTAGGTTTGAATTAATATTGTTATTTAATTATTGGACACGAAGAATTTTAAATTTTTAGAATTACACATGTAACAATTCATAAATTTTAATTGAATTAATTGAATATTATTGTCATTGAATAAAAAATAAATCGAAGTTAAAATGTAATACATACATGACACTTGTTTATTTTTATTTAAGAATCGTGTTGTTATTTCATTATTGTTTTATCTTATTTTTAAATCTAGAGTATATAGTTTTAAGTAATGTATAATGTAAGTAAAGATATCCATGTTGTTAACTAGTATTTTATGGATGTTAATTTACACCATTTGCTATGCAGTGATAATAAATGGAATAAGAAACATTTTATGTTCGTATTTTTCGAATTGAAAATTTCATTCCTTTAGTGATTAAAGTATATTTTTGTTTGCACATGATCAATGCGCTTCTGGAATTTTTATCGGGTTGAATTGAAATTTTACTTGGCGTTTGGTATTTCAAGGACGGTTTTTGTAAATTATAAAGGTAAATTTTATATCTTGCACTGCACTAAAATTAGCATGTCAAATAATGACAAACCATATACGCTGCTTTTAACTTATGTAATAACTCATGTTCACTATGCTTAGCGAATAAATGATTTCCTTCTTTTTTTCCTTCTGTCATAGTACCAGCAACATACGACAAACTCCGTGTAATTTGTTTTAACAAATATAATTTTTATCACACAATTACCGATATTCAAATACAGATAGATAAATAACAAGTGGCAGGGCGTAGAAATACGTGGTACCTACCCGCGCGAACACAAGACGCCTGCTTTTTTTCCTACCTAAGCTGATAGTTAGCCTTGAGAGGCTATTTCAGCGTAACCTTCACTAGTAGGTGAGCTCACGGGGATCAAATCTGACGACGTTGCTAACACGAACCCTGGTAAGAGCCGTGCTTCTCAGAATCTACCACAGGATCGGAAACACGACCCACTGAGAAGATCCAGCGAGAAACTCAGTGGGCTGCGTCTGTGGGTTAATTTACTTGTCGAGCCCTTCATCGCAAGCGATGGGTTCGACGTGAACGATGACTGGTGCTTGAGGTACCCAAAAGTACCGTTAGTGGATCGGGAGACGCCTGCCTGCCTGAGAGACCACCACAAAGTTACTAAAATTATAATTGTTTTTTTTTATTGTGAGTTTCGTTTTTACCACACCTTATTCACACCTCTTCATCGTGGCAATCATTCGTCTACGTGTGTTCGGTAGGTATTTCATTCGGATAAATTGGGACCTGTCAGCGGGAATCGAACACAGGCAGTCGCATCGTTCGATACAGATGTACTGGACGTCTCATCCTTTAGGCCACGGCTTCAAATGTAAACATAAACATAAATTTCTAGAAGAAATATCTCTATAAATTTCTTACTATTTCAAAATGATTATAGATTAAAAAAAAATTACATTTATTTGTAAATTGTTTGTGTGTAAAAGGCGCGCGCGGCTTTCTTTCTTTAATATGTATTCGTAGTACGTATTCTTAAGTACATATTTAACAAGCCTTCTAAAATAACTGAAATATTTAATTCAAATTAGTTCTGAAAAAAAAAAAAATTATATATGCATGATTAAAAATATATAATTAAAACTAAATTTATCTCTAAATTACCGTACATACCTCTTGAACCATAGTTTTTAATAAATAATTCGGGTAATATAGGATCATCTTCATATGTGTAAGCTTCGTTAACTTGTACATGTGCTTCAGGATTCCATTCAAAAAGTAAAGTAACTAATGGTAAGTTATGTAAATTTGTCAATGCTTTTTCTCCATATTTTTGTTTCACTCTTCTAATGAGACATCTTTTTACGTAAGTAAAGAATGTATCTAAGAAATTAAAGCAAACATTGCCACTCCAATATTTCTGTAAGATCAAAAAGGAATCACTGAGTACGACTGTCTTTTTATTTTCTTGACAATGCTGCGCTTGACAAGTGGTGAATTAAAAACATTTCTGAACACGCCCAGATGGGCATCTCTAAGCAATCATGCTAGTTTGAAGGATGGGGTCGCCGCTATGCAATATAATGACTTTGACCTCATTTCAATATGATTTGTGACGTATGTATTCGTATTTTTTTGAGGCAAAAATATATCAATTCAGTTCATTTTAATCGAACGCGTTTAATATCTACTTGGAATACAGCAAAATTCAATAATAAACATAAAATCGTTAGGTTAAAGTTAATAAACTTACCTTACTTTGTTTTGATAATTCTTTTACTGTGAACACTTTTAACTCTTCAACTATTCCTTTATCATTTCGAAATCCACATAATATAGTGTCGACTCCAACAAGAAATGATTGACACCACCATTTTTTGCATTTGTACCTCCTTTAAAAAAAAACAAAAAACAATCGTTAGTAGTGTGTTGAAGAAATCTTTGGGCCCGCAGTTTCGCAGTCGTGGACCATTTCCACATATCCTGCGGGCCCCCTAGGTGCCGGGACCTCGTAGGTGGTTCGGGCCCAGGCCAGAAGAATTACGGCCTAATTAGTATCAAGTGGTTACCGAAATTCATAAATATCATAACGTGAATTCCACCACGTTTTTTGGTCTTGGTTTATATCGCCGGATCATCGCCCACGCGTGATATCTTTGCGGTGGGTTTATAGGAGTTAAGTTTGAGTCTACTACTTAACAATGTCGTCGCCTTTTAAACAAATCTTTCGAAACTTACCAAATCAGAAGCAGTAAGAGTTAACTGCCCCCTACCTACACGGTGACTTGCACATATTAACGCCACCGCATCATAACACGGCAGATTAAGTGGTCGTCTGCTGGATCTGATCCAGACTTCAAAAAAAGAAGTAGGTTCTAAATTCGGCACTGGACCACATAGATACACACGATATTGTCATTTTATTTTGTTGAAGTCACTTTTCTTTTTATGATAATGACAATGACGTAGAGCCATAATGTATTTATCTTTATATCTATCAGCCATTTCGCCAGCTCCAACACAAAATTGAGAGTGCCTGAAACATTAGGCAGGATTGCGATGTTGATACGCCGTACCAACACTAAACATTGGTAGTGGTCACAGTATACTGGTGCAAAATTCACTGCCATCACATAGGAACAATACTCTATATTCATTTCCATTTATTAAGCAGCTACCTACCTGAAATTTATCTCTTGTTTATTATTTTCTATATGCCTATTTGTTTTTAACTCAATGAATTCCTTATCACACAGATACTCTAAAACAGTTTGAGGATCAGCATCATTTGATGGTGGGGATGGGACCACTACTTTGTCACATCTGATCGCATCCATTTCGGCTCCATAAATTATTTTGTGATTGTTCAATTTCGTAGTTAAAACCAATGAGAATTCTTCTGTTTCATCTACAGGTACATCAGGATTGGGATTGGCTTCAGGATGATCTGAAATCAATATTTATTGATGTTTTTTTTTTGGAATTATATCAAACAAGAAGCACATGAAGAACTTTTTACAGCAGAACTAATTTAATTTTAGTAGTATAGGTTCTGAAGTCATAATGGCCCAAATGATAAGACGCCAGGTGCATTTATGCATCAAGCGATGCAACGATGCCAGTGTTCAAATCGAGCAGGCAAATACTAATTTATCTAATGATATACTTCCTTATTAAATGTTCACGATTGACTTCCACTGTAAATGATGTAATAAAAATAAATCAAACATAATTTTTCCGTGTGGTGCTGGCGGACTAGAATAGCACCCTCCTATTTCTTCCCATGGGTATAGTAGAAGGCGATTAAGAGAGTGTGAAAAAGTATTTATCCCCTGTAACTTATTCACCATTATATATTATATGGTCCATCTGTCCGAGTCTTTCTCCAGTCTTAACAGTCCCCGTTCCACTGGGTCTAGAAAGATACGAATGAGTATTTGCACCTATGTCTCGCGCCTATGGTTGTGCACGTTAATATAACCTGGGCAACTGACTGCTTACATATAAAGGACTCTGATTTCAGATTATATCCTACGGCGTTGGGTGTAAGTAGAAGCTTGACGTGATGCATATTGGGCTTTGTCTGAAACCTACGCAGGCGGCCCTGGGGTGTAGTATTACATCGTTACATTGGGGTAACAGAGCGGATTCGGCAGCACCCGGGGTGACAAAGCAGCCCTATTCAGGTAGGCACTACTTTCCTTGCTAAGCCGGGGAGGGGGTGCCCTAAATAAACGCTCACTCCAACTTATAAGGAGGATAGTAACAGCGGCTGCCTTCGCATCTAAAATTCGCGGTCGAAGCCGTTGTTGTTGTTGTTGTTGTAGTAGTCCTAGGATACCCCGCTGGTACATAGGGCTCGCACAAGTTGTCTCCACTCGACCCTGTCTTGCGCTTGCTCCTTGACATCACTCCAGGTCATGTTGGCAGTCCTCATCTCAATCTTCACGGTATGCCGCCAAGTCTGTACAGGGCGACCAGGTCTTCTCTTGCCAAGCGGTGGCCACTCAAACGCGATTGATGCTGCGTTGACTCCGCTACGCCGTGGAGTGTGTTCTATCCAACGTCATTTCCAATGTCCAATGTCTTGCGTGATGGGGTTTTGATCACATTTAGTCCAACGGTCTTTATTAGAGATAGTGACTGGCCAGAATATGCAGAGTATCAACCTCAAGCACTTATTTACAAATACCTGGAGTTGTTTCGTGAGTATCTTGGTCACTCTCCAAGTCTCACATTCAAACAGGAGAACACTTTTAACAATGGAGTCGAACAAGGTCAGTTTGATCCGACGAGTCATGACACTTCACTCCCGTAATATGTATCTCTTTTTTGTTGACCTTGAGGAGGCATTCGATAATGTATCGTATAAAGCCCTCTGGATAGTGCTGCGGAAACTTGGATGTACAGTGAAGTTTGTGAAACTTCTGACTTCCCCATGGCGACATGCAGATTTGTGTCGCTGTAAGTGCTGATCAGTCAGTTTTTCCCTGTCACCTGAGTAAAACAAGGGTGTATCTTCGAACCTGCACTGTTCACGTTATACTTTGCACTCGTAGTTCAGGACGTATTACAGAGAACCCCTGAAGGAAGTTGCATCCGATTTGGCATTAATGGCAATATGTTTAATCTCGCCAGACTCAGGTCCCATACGAAAGTGTCTCACGCACTGATCACAGAGATTGTCTATGCGGATGATTTATGCTTTGTGACCTATTCTCCAGAAGGCTTGCTTCTTGAAACTTATGACTACTTTTTACAAATCCTGCTGTATTTTTAATCTGAAGATTGGCATTCAAAAGACAGAAGTGATGTCTTTAGATATTAATGGTCAGGAGAGTGTCTCTTGGCCATCAAACTCAGTGATGACATACTTAAGCAAGTCCTTACATTCCGTTATCTGGGGAGCACTATAACATCAAAGTGTGAGCTTGATGCTGAAATCAACAGCCAGATCGGTGCTGCAGCTGCGGTATTCGGCAGATTAAATCGCAGGGTTTTTAGCTCACATAATCTGAAGCTGGGTACCAAAGCTGACATCTATAGGGCGGTGGTGCTGCCGAACATGCTATACTCTTCAGAGTCATGGACAATATACCGCCGCCATATATGAACTCTGGACCGTTTCTACCTAAAATGTCTGCGCAAAATTCTCAGCATCTGCTGGTCTGATCGTATTCGGAATACAGAAGTGCTGTGGAGAGCCAATACCATGGGCATTGAGGCCTATCTCAGGTGGCGACAACTCTGTTGGTGTGGACACGTATCATGAATGTCAGATCAACCTACGGCATTAGCTGAAAGCACGCCCGCCATGTGCTACCTCTTACAACTATTATAATGGTGTGGGAATAAGATCTCCTATGTTAGCCACACACGAGCACACAGTGACAATTCAAAACGGAGTTGAAGTGGTCGCCATGGCCGAAATCAGCCAAGGAGAGTAGTAGTAGTAAAATCAAAACTGCAATAATTATAATTTGCGTAATTGCTGAATATCTTGTGAGTCTGCACAAGCTGCCATGAAGCAGTAATGCGATTTGGTTTGAAGGGTGGGGCAACCATTTTACTGAAAAAATTGGGACCTTAGAACTCATGTCTCAAGGTGGGAGGCAGCATTCACATTGCAAATGTTTATGGGCTCCGGTAACCACCTAACATTAATGGGGAATTATCTCTTTCACCATCAATGCAATAAAAAATGGGTGTCAATAAACATAAAAAATTGCAATCAATAAATGCAGACAACAAATACAGTCAAACCTGGATAAGTGAGAGTTCAGGGGAGCATAATCTCATTCTCGCTTATAGAGGTTTCTCACTAACCCGAGTTTCTCGATAATGCAGGTACATGGGTAGCGTTTCTCTCTTAAAGAGGTACGCAGCAATAACAAGTCACAGCAAATACGAATGTAGTAAATATGTAATATGATAAAATTATGCGCATAATATGCACAACATATATTATGTACATATATTTTTTTAATAGTGTGTATATGTTACGTTCATTAGATTTCAACATATAAGTACTTTATAAGGGTAGGTATCAAGATGCTTACGACAATAAAACAAAAATTCATGCACTAATTTTATTTTATTTAGAACTTATTTACACTTAAAAAAATCCATCAATTTCGTTTGGGTTTCTGTGATAAGGTCGGTTTCAAGAATGCGATAAAATTACAAAGTTATTTAGGTCCACGAAATAGAATAGATTCAATATTTAAGAGAAAACAATACAAAAACAATGGTAGGAAGTTGCACGCAAGTTAAGAATGAGACATTTATCATCTGCTATTTTAATAGCAGATGTTAAATTTGTCATTTATTTTGTCATTTGTTCCTCCTAAATAATATAAATAAATAAAGCTCGACTGTCGCTTATAAAGGTATAGATAAGTAGCAGTCTCACTTACGGAGGTCCATGAGGGAAAAACGACTCTCTTACAAAGGTTTGTTTCTCACTAACAGACATTTTGTGAGCTTAAAAGGACAGGTCCTGGCTATTACTCTCACTTATGGAGTTTTCTCACTTATCCAGTTCTCACTTACACAGGTTTGACTGTAAAGGCAATAAACGACACAAGTGGACAATTGTAACTCTGATAATTATTCCAAATTAAACAGGAATAATACTTAGTAGATATTTTACAACTTACCTGATGTCATGAATTGTTCAAATTTAAAGCCCCATGATGTGAACTGCTTATCTTTCTCAGACATATTACGATTTCTAGATTTCTTTTCATCAGTGTCTCTCGCGCATAAGTATATGTTACCTTTATGTAAAATCGCAACTATTTTCCATGGTTCTGTATTCTCATACGGTGTACACGCAACACATGTCATGAGACCCCGGTAACAGTGAATCGGGGCATCGTTAATAGTCTTCTGTATTGGAAAGTTTAATCTGTGCTCTTGTGTAAGTAAGAAATGCAACAAATCATCTAATTTAACGTCCCGATCTACTGGTTTACGCTTTACTTTGTCTAAATGCAAATTCAAATCAAAACACACTTTTTTGTCTCGTAAAGTTTTACAAAATTTTAGATTGTGGAGACCAATATATCCTATCACTTTTGGACGATCAAATCGAGGAAATGAATTTGAGTAAATGCTAGCATTCACATGAAGTTCTGGCTGAATTTGCATATTGAATTAAATAATAATTCATGAAATAGTGTAATGTCTCGACTATCGATGCGAAGTTTGTTTATTTTGAAAATTTATTCATTTTTTTTTTTTTTTTTTTTCCTTCTTTTTGGCTTTTACATATTGATGTATTTAGCCACTGACAGTAATAAAACTCGGGAACCAAAGCATGATAAAATTGTAAGAATTAGGAACGGAAATTTGGACAGAGGATTAGGAAGTAAAGGAAAATATGGAATATATATATATAAATTATTAAACTAAATCATGTATAAATAGAATATATTTTTATTATGGAATATATATATAGAAATTATTAAACTAAATCATGTATGAATAGAATATATTTTTATTAAATTTTAATATTATTTTCAATTATAAATTTGGATAATAATTTATAAACATTTTGCTTTTCATCATAAAGTAAACATTTAACAGAGGTAGGAAATGGTATTTTGAGGAAAATTAAACTGCTCAAAAAAGAAGATCTGTCATAT